TACTCCATGATACTCACACCATGTTCCAATTGCGGTGAGGTTGATTTCTCAGCTAATGGCTGCCTGTGCCTTAGCATGAATCCTACAAGTGGACCATCTCGTCCTCAGCCGACGAATAACCTGCTCATATTGTCAATGAGTCACAGTCATTACCAACACTTTGAGGCCAACCTTTGTCCGCCGTCTCTTTGAAGGAAGATCATCTGTGTGGGATGCTCCGGGATGCTAAACAGCGAGAAAGGAGCGGCGTGGAAGTTCCAATACTCAAGGATGGTGCACCTACAACGAGAAATGCAGAGAGTGGTAGCACTGTATGGGGAACAAGCGCAAGCACCTTCGGGAAACTCGACAGTAATTGGTTCATGGCTGCGTCGTATACAGACTTTCAACTCCCCCACAATACCGGATTGGCCGACCAAAAAGTCTTACCAGCACCTTGTTTGCTTACGCGCGTTGGCCCATTGTCGCTGCGATTCGCGAGGAGCATGGCCGTTCTAACTGACGTCCCAAAATCTCGGCGCGGCGCTGACTCGTGCTATATAAGTCAAGAGCCTCGTCCCTCTTTCAATAGGTGAATAAGAACTACCGGCCCCCGACCCCTCACTTAACTTCCCTTTTGTATCACCATCACAAGGATACCAAATTTGTTCCCCCATAATGGATCTGCTGGAGAAGAAAACGCTCAAGGTCACACGGGGTTTCACCTATACCTACTACACCAGCCCCGCAAAGGATGGTCGCCCTACATTGCTCTTGATCCATGGGTTCCCAGACGCCCCGGATACCTATGAGGAGGCGATCCGAGACTATTTGCTCCCCAATGGGTACGGTGTGATTGCTGTAGACTGCTTGGGCTACAATGGCACCTCCAAGCCCACGGACGTGGAATCGTACAATATGCAGCTGATGACCCAAGACCTCAAGGAGATCGTTGACAAGGAGGGTCTCGACAAGGTTATTTCCGTCGGTCATGACTGGGCAAGTATTCCCTGCAATGCCCTTCTCTGTAGACCGAATATTTCTCGTCATTTACTTTCCTCGATTCTGACGCTCATGAATCGTTTTCAACAGGGCTCCGCTGTCGCACAACGCTTCTACAACTTCCACCCTGACCGTGTGTGCGGCCTTATTCTTCTGAACGTGTCCTATATGCCTCCGTCACCGGAACCATTCAATCTCGACAACGTCCTCGAACTGACCAAGAGTATCTTCGGCTACGGCACCCACTGGTACTGGAAGCTCTTCACAGCCGACGACGGTGCACAGGTCCTGGACGGGCACCTGGACGCCATGTGGGACGTCGCACACGGGGAGCCCGAGACCTGGCTCGAGACGCTGTGCTACCCCGATGGGGTGAGAAATTTTGTTCTGGCCGACAAGAGACAGCCCACGATGGCCTACGCGACCGAGGAGCGCAAGCAGAAGTGGATCGCCTCCATGAAGGAAGGAGGCTTCGACGCCCCGCTCAATTACTACCGATCCATGGTGTTTGGCGTGCAGCACAAAGCTGACGCCAAAATCCCCAAGGAGAACATCCACGTCAAGTGCCCGTTTTTGTTCTGGGGTGGCAAGAGGGACATGGTCTGCAGGCCCGAGTTGCTCCAGGGGAGTCTGGATGCCGGTTTGATCCCAGACAGCACGCAGGTCGTGGTTGATTCGGGCCACTGGGCTCATTTGGACAAGCCTAAGGAGTTTGGCGAGGCGCTGGTGGGCTGGCTGAAGGCGAAGTTCTGAAGGAATTCAGTATCTTTTCGAAGCGGTTCAGAGCTGGGAGATCGCGATTGATTCGGCTAGCCGGATGCTTAAGGACGGCTCTATTTGGGCTCCGAGAAGAGAGATCTTGTGCTCGTCTTGATGAGGCGGATATGCATGGCTTGCGATCGTCTCGGATTGATAATATAGTCAGGAGGATGGCTGCGACAAATCACCAGGGCTCTAAAGCATTTGCTCTTGGAAGCAAAGCATCCATGAAAAACAACGGTTAAATGATCAGATACACGTCCCCCAAGCATACCGCCCTCTTGGTCATCGGATAAATCCACCAACATGTCGCTATAAATGACACCACCTCCACCACGAAAGAGGTAATATGAGTGTCAATCACTGCAGGTTACCATGCCCACATTAGCTTATGCGCCAATATGCGCTCACCCAGCCTCTCATACAAAAAGGCATTGATCCACGAATCATTGGTACGACTCATCCTGCCGAAAACAGCGCCGCCTTTCCACGCAACGACCTGGGGATCTAGTTCCCTGGGCGGACGTCCGATCAGAATGTCTTTGCTGTAGCCGGGTAGGATCCCCTTCAAACTCTCTTCGAGGTGCGACCCGAGTCCGGGTATGATGGACGTGCCGCCGGTAAGCATAATGCCGGAGAGGAGATCGGACGTCTTTTGGGAAGAGCCTCTAGCTGCATGGGTAATGGACGTGACGATGGCATTAGGGAGAGGGTAGATAGGCAGGATATCGTCGCGGCGTTCGATGGAAAGAGGTTCTTCTTCTTCCACCTCAGGAATTGGAGGCTTCTCCTCGCGTGGAGCGCCACCCTCGTTTTCCTCCCCAGGCTGTGGTGTGCCGTCTGGCAGGTTGCGGGCGGGAGAGCTTGCAGCTGACGGCTGTGGTGTTGCATCCATTTCCTTTATGTTGCTAAAGGATGGACGACGGGAGTCGTTGAAAGCTTCCTCTTTCGTCGCTGTTCCGTTAGTGAGAACGCCATTTGTATGTCCATTAGCCTTTGTGGCGGGCTTGTTTGTCGAGGTAAGAAGTTCTTCTGGGGCGATGGCTGTAAGGATCTCCGCTTGCGCCGTGGAGCTCGGGTCATTTGGCTTGTTGTCGTAGATGTCATAGGATTTGTCGACAAGTTTACGACGACCCTTAAGTTTCCCACTGTTGTCAAAGATTTGAGGTTTGAAAAGCCCCATCGGGGCAAGAATGACTTCGTCGTAGATCTTAAATGTGTACTTCCTGGTGTCTTGACCCGGCGCGCGTAGGTGAAAGTCATACAGTTGCACCGAGACATCTGCCTCGGTCATGGTGCAAAACTTTTGCTTCAGCTCTTCTGCCAGTTGGAAGTCATAGCGTCGGTTTAAATTGATTTCAGAGTAAGGAAAGTGGTTGTAGATGATCATCTTGACAAAAGTTTCAGTGATATCTCTCCCGCCGAATTTCAGGTTGACCCGGGAGTTATCAAGGACCATTCCGTCTTCGACGCAAGATATTGTTGTCTTTTGTGCGCCGATGTCAACAATGCAACAGGTAGTAAAACCGGCACCGAAGGAAGCCGCCAAACTCTCTTGGATGAAGCAAACACGTCCAAATCCGAACTCGGTGATGGCCATCTCGAGCAGACTGGTTACGTATGTCCTTTCGTAGTAGTCAGGAATGACTATGACACAGCTGTACTGGTTCCAGTCTTCCCGAGTGCGCAATTTCAGTTCGAGTTGGGATTTGATGGCGTCTTCGATGATGATGCGGATATCATCATACAGGAAATGTTTCGAGTCATAGTCTTGCTCGTTAATCCAACCATATCGAATTGGCCAGAACAGTTTGTAGCGCGGCGTTGATTGATCAGGGATGCGCAGAGCCGCTTTCCCTGTAATGTATGCGGGAGAATCACCGTGCCCGTCGTTTGTATCCGTCCACTCGATACGCATGGTATCATTGTGCTCGGTGATGGTCTCGTAAGTATTTCGTCGGTTGTAGCTGGTGACCATGTCTCTCGACTGCGGCAGCACCTTTCTCTTGTTCATCCTCATTCGTACCTTGAGATCCTGAGACATGCCCGAGAATTTCTTTGCAAAGTCCTCGCCAAAACGTTTCTCTGGTTCTGGAGGGGGCAGACCGTTATCTAACTTGGCTCGTTTGGGTGCTGGTTCTCCATCCCCCTCCTCGCTCTCAGATTTGGCCGAACGGCGAGCAATGACCATGGGAACAGTCTTTGGGAGAGCGTCGTTGGCAAGACCGACTCTTAGATTCTGCGATCCAATGTGGATGACGATCGTCTTCGCTCCGCTCGCAGCCTCGTCCTCGGCCTCCTCTTCACCATCGTCCATTTCGATATCGCCATCAGGCCCAACTGTTTTCCCTTGCGCAAGTGCCCTATCCCTGTCTTTGGCTTGCTTCACCATTTTGTTGCGGGCTTCTTCCTGCTGCGATCGGTAGGCGAGTATTTGTTCATCTCGTTTGAGATAGTCTGTGTAATAGTTCTTTTGATTTATGGCTTGGATTATGGGCCAGGATGTAAGCTCCATATTGCTATAGGCCGTCAATTAGTGATTTGTTGGTTTCTCAATGGCTTGACCGGTAGCGACAACTGTCCCAGACACGAGGAACGATGTTCGAGGTACGGGTAACATACTTGTCAGTTCTTTCCAGGCCTTCCTCCCGCAGGAGAGCCTTTCCACTTTTCTTGCCCACCATTTTGTCCCAGTTCTCTGTCTTCCTGGAGAGCCGCTTCGTATTCAATGGGAGGAATAGAGGAAGGAATGAAGGAGGAGTTGCGAGTTAAGGTGGTCTATGGGGCCATGTCGGCGTGAGGTTGTGTGGAAAGAGTGTTCAGATCGTGAGTCCTGATGGTACAACATGTGGCATGAAAAGTCGCAAGGGCTCAAAGTCAAGTTGCGCTGATTTGGAAGAGGCTTGTACTCCGCAATTTACGAAGTTGGTGGCACGCGTCGAAGAAGAAGCGAGGAAAGTCCCACCCCGGATCATCGGGCGGTCAGTGGCTCGACTCTCAAGGCTTCCGTCCACTACAACATCGTTGGCCGTCAATATTTATCTCGTTCTGTTTTTTTCTTCACAATTTATTAAAGTGAGATCAAGTCTCCATCGAGGGAACATTCTAGTTATCGAGACTAGCGATACATGACCTGTGCCGAAACCTGACCAGTCTCATTCGAAGAAACCCCAGTTCCACCTCGAAGCCAGCGACATGGTTTTGTCGTGACCAATTGTCCTCTCAATTCTCCTAAAACATACTGCCTTCCGTTGCTAGACATGGGGGGCTCGTTTTCAAAATACTTCACCAACCTCATCTGGGGGAAGAAAGATATCAGGATTCTGATACTTGGTCTTGTGCGTTGTTTGGTTGATTGATCACCGAGGATGAAATAGGCTGACAGGTGTCGACAAAGGATAATGCTGGCAAGACCACTCTCCTGTATAGACTCAAGGTAGGTCATGAACGATGGACTTGGATCTTGGTCTAAGTGAATCAGATTGGTGAAGTGGTGACCACGATACCAACGATCGGATTTAATGTGGAGTTAGTCGTCCCCGATATTATAAACAACTGGCATAAAAGACTGAATCTGCTATACCCTAGGTCCGTGCAATATGGCAACCTGAACTTTGATGTCTGGGACTTGGGCGGACAAACATCAATAAGACCCTACTGGAGATCATACTACGCCAACACCGCGGCCGTCATATTTGTCATTGATTCGACCGATATCGAACGATTAGAGATTGCCGCGGATGAACTAAGGTCGATGTTGAACGAGGACGAACTGAAGGATGCAGCTTTACTGGTGTTTGCGAACAAGCAAGATCAGGTATGGAATATCTCAGGATCTTTGGATTGTGGCTCACGATTAGCAGCCCGGTGCACAAGGGGCGGGCGAGATCTCCGAAGCGTTGAAGCTGGGTGAGCTGAGAGACCGGAATTGGAGTATCGTGGCCTGCTCGGTGATCGATGGCAAAGGGATCAACGAGGGAATGGATTGGCTTTCGTGAGTTTGTCGGTTTGACATTGCACGTCGACTTGTTCTAACACCTCGCAGTCAAACTGTGCAATCAGAGTCCTGATGCGTCTGTTAAAATATACCCATGCATCAATACGGCGCGTTTGAATCATCAATGTCACTTTGCTTCTGGCCGTACAAAAGCATTCAGCTGCGCATCTCCATCGTGTACGCGGCCAGGTTGGGTCGGCCCGGCCTCATGAAATGTTTACCATCCTTTTCGGTTGCATAAGGCAAAATGAAGCGATTGGATTTCCTGGGGACCTGTACGACCTCAAGTCGAGCTGGGTTGGAACATCTAGGTCACTTGCTTCGTACCCGGGTATGTAGATCAGTTCGAGGCTTGATCGCGGTGAAGATCGGGGTCAGAGGTCGCTGCAACAAGACCGGCTTGGTGTTTCGGATTGGAAAAGGCTTAGACACAGCTCTCAGAAAGTGAAGATGGATGATATTGGTTATGGACAGAGTATAATCGCGATTATGTACTCGGTAGTATAAAGTGCTTGGTGAATGAGAAACACGCATGGAATTGGTGACGGTGTGGAGAAGAACAGAAGAACAGGGAGTCCGTGTCCGCGTCCGCAGTCTAGCGTTGTTCTGTGTCACTGAATCGAAACAACCTTCGAAGTATCAACTGAGTTTCCCTCCTGATCTTACTGCCCGAAGAAGCCAAACACTGTTCTTTGGCGGTGTCCAGATCGCATTCCCTTCCTATCCATGTTCTAGCTGTAAATTGTCGACCCCGTCCATCTGTCACGCTGGCTCGAATCAAGGGCTTACTCGTCCTCCTCGCCTCCATCGCCTTCTTCTCCCTCGTGAGCATCATCAGCCTGGCTCCCTTTCGTGCGACTTCCCGGCTAGGTTCGATCCTGAACCAAGTCAGACCCTTCAAGCCGGCGTCTTCGTCGACGTCCTCTCTCAGACCGGTGACAACCTCCAGCATGGCCTCCGCAAAGTTTCGCAAGCCTCCGCAGGCGCCTCCCAGTTTCACGGCAACGCCTGAATCACTCGTGACAGACACGAAGGACATGTTGGCTAGCTCAAAGAAAATCACGGACGAGATTGTTGCTCAAATCTCGCACAAGGATGCCACGTTTAAGAATGTGCTTCTCCCCATGGCGCATGACGAGAATCAGCAAACATTGAAAGCCCACATTCTGGGTTTTTATCAGTCCGTCTCCACCGACCAGGCACTACGGGATGCTTCAACTGAAGCAGAGAAACTCATGGATGATTTCAGCATTGAAGCGGCTATGCGGGAGGATGTCTTCAATCTGGTCGACGCCGTACTTCAAAAAGGGGACAAGCTGGATTCCGAGTCCCAGAGGTTGTTAGAGAAGGAGCATAAGGCCTTTGTCCGAAATGGGTTGAATATTCCCGCAGGACCCAAGCGGGATCGGTTCAAAGAGATCAAGAAGAGACTCAGCCAGCTGGGCATTGCATTTTCCAAGAACCTGAATGAAGAGAAGGGTGGTCTGTGGTTCACCGCTGAAGAGCTCAATGGTGTCCCGGAAGACGTCTTGTCTTTACTGAAGAAAGAGGGAGATAAATACTGGTTGACCTTCAAATACCCTGACCTGTTTCCTACGCTCAAATACGCGACAAACAGCGCCACGAGACGTACAGTCTTTATTGCCAACGAGAACAAATGCAATCAAAACGTTCCGTTGTTTCGAGAAGCCATCCTGCTCAGAGATGAAGCCGCTCGCCTGCTTGGATACCCCAACCACGCTGCTTTCAGGATTGAGGACAAGATGGCAAAGACCACCAAGACTGTGGACGACTTCCTGGCTGACTTGCGCAACCGATTGAGCCAAGGGGGGTTGGACGAGATTGCAACTTTGAAGAAAATGAAAGAGGAAGACCTGAAATCTCGTGGCGAGGACTTTGATGGCCGCTACTATCTGTGGGACCACCGCTTTTACGACCGGATGATGGAAGAGAAGGACTATCAGCTGGACCAACAGTTGATCTCAGAGTGGTTCCCACTGCAAACCACGATCAAAAGCATGCTTGAGATCTTTGAACAAATATTCGGCCTGGTCTTTGTGGAGATTGTAGGCAAGGATCGAGACACTGTTTCTCCATCCGGCAAGGGCGAGGATATTGTGTGGCACGAGGAGGTGCAGGTCTTTAGCGTTTGGGACGACGAAGGCGAAGGTGGAGGTTTTGTGGGATACCTCTACCTGGACCTGTTCCCTCGCACTGGCAAATATGGCCATGCTGCCAACTTCAATCTCCAACCAGGCTTCATCCAAGAAAACGGAACGAGGAGATACCCAGCCACAGCTCTCGTGTGCAACTTCTCCAAACCCACGGCAAAGAAACCGAGTCTGCTAAAACACGATGAAGTCACCACTCTCTTCCACGAACTCGGTCATGGCATCCATGATCTTGTATCACGTACAACCTACTCGCGATTCCATGGTACCAACACCGTTAGAGATTTTGTCGAAGCACCAAGCCAGATGTTGGAGAATTGGTGCTGGACGCCATCCCAGCTCAAGTCCTTGAGTAGACACTATTCGACGCTATCGTCCGATTATTATGAGGCATGGAAAGAGGCAGCTGGTGGCTCGAGCGCCCAGAAGCCCGAGGAGCGCATCCCAGATGATCTGATACAGAAACTGATCAAAACGAAGAACCTCAATGGCGCCTTGTTCAATCTCCGCCAACTCCACTTTGGCATCTTCGACATGACGATACACGAACCTAAAGACCATGCCAGCCTCGAAGCAATGAACATATCCGAGACGTACAACGCCTTGAGGAAGGACATTAGCAAGATTGATGGGCCGGAGGTGTTTGGCGAAGGCAACGCTTGGGGTAATGGGCAAGCCACCTTTGGCCATCTCATGGGTGGTTATGATGCCGGTAAGTTTTATGTTTTTTGCCATGCCACTTGTCTTTTGCCACGAAGCTGGATTCCCGCCCAATTCTCCCAGTGACGCAACTCACATTCTCTCCCCTACAGGCTACTATGGATACCTCTCCTCCCAGGTCTACTCGACGGACATGTTCTATACGGTCTTCAAGAAGAATCCCATGGATCCCAAAGAGGGTCGCCGCTACCGCCACACCGTCCTCGAAAAGGGCGGCAGTCAAGACGAAATGAAGACACTGATCGAATTCCTTGGCCGGGAGCCCAAGACCGACGCTTTTTACGAGGAGCTGGGGCTCACCAAATCAACGTAGTCAGGCGCCGGGACGACATGATGTTCAGGGGATGGTCCCGCCTCTGGGTTTGGTCGTGTTGTTCCTTCTCCGGTTGTACATATTTCTCGTCAGACCAAGCAGCCGGCTCCATTCAGGGACAGCTTGGTCTTCCAATACAACTCGCCAGGAGACATTCGTGGCCTCTTTTTGACGTTGCCATACACTAGAGTAGCTGTAGTCGCTGTCCCAGCTCCTAAACACATGAGACTCGTGAAGGCGGCACGAGGCTGGCCATTAGCGCGTCAGGAAGCCAACGCCTGATCACGTGAAACCCAACTTGTCTATTCCCCACGCTTTCTAGTTTGCTGGGTCTCAAATCCTTCTCAATGTGCAAACCTGAATGTGAGCATCTTATTCCCCTTGTCCGTCGTTGTCGCGAGGTAATGGCGCTGCTCATCCGCCGTCATGGAGTTCCACTTCCGATCCCGCACTCTGGAGGGAGGGTTCACGTCAGTCAGCAGGCAATGCAGGGCGGAAATAATCGCGATGGTAGATAGTTACATAGGTAGGCGTGGGTATGTAACCTGCAAAACCACAACAGAAAGAAGGGGGGGGATATTACGTACTGGTTTCTCCAGATATAGAACCATTTGGCAAGTATGAACAGGGCGAAATTGTACGCGCAGATGGCGATGAGGACCTTGTATCCACGCCTGTACTGGGGCGCGTCGTCCGTTCTGAAAATCTACGTGTATAGCGAGCGATTCGTCAGCACCGAAATCAAAGGGGAAAAAGCAAAAGACAAGAAGAAACGGTCAGTCACGGAGAGGCAGAAATGTCTGGACATACATTGGACCCGATGATGTTGCTTGCTTGCACAAACATGTTGTACAGCGCCGAAGCCACGGTCCTCGTACGGACTGAACCGGCGTTGCGGCTGGTGATGGCCACGTGGATGGCGTGCACGTAGGGCGCGCCCACGAGCAGCGTGGCCAGCGTGTATTTCACCCACCTGGACGCTTCCGCGGGGAGGAGCTCCGACGCGATGAGTAACGGCATACACCTGTGCGCGCATGTATAAGTCCAGCGTCTTTCTTTCTTTCGAGAAGGAACTGAGACTCACCAGACCTGGCTGAGTAGCGCGACAAGGAATCGCTGGTTTGTCTTCTCCGACAACCAGGTGAAAGCGAGAAGGTTGATGATGAAGAGCACGTATGACGGGATCGTGAGCATGTTGACCTCGAACCGGCCGAAGGATTGCTTCAAGATCAACGACAGATACTGCGTGACGGGGTAGTTGGGGATCAAGAACGACAGCCCGATGGCGTAGATGGGCCACATTTCCCAGTCGCAGAGGGCGTAGAAGAGCAGTTTCGGCGTCACGGCTTGTCGGTTGTGCATGTCGGCTTTGCTGGGGTCATCACGTAGGATGCGGTTCGCGATAATCTTTTCCTCTCGCTCGTTGAACCAGCCCTTTCTTCCGCGGAACCATGAGGCTGTCTGATATGGCGAAGGGGGCAGGTAGAAGTAGGTGGCGATGCCGATAAGCCCTGTGAGGGTTCCCTCGAGAGCGAATAGCCACGCCCACCTATACATATTCAAGTCAACAACTCGTGTCTAATAGTCAGGCGTCACGAACATACCCTGCGAGGCCATTTATGCCGCGCATATTGAGGATGGCAGCAGCCAGAAACGCACCAACGATTGATGTAGCTTGATATGACGTCCAGAACCAGGCCAGCCGTGCAGGCAGCTCTCTCCCCTTGTAGTAATAAGACAGATAAAGAATGGTATCTGGAATGAAGTGCATTGCATGTCAGTTGGGATCTAGTCCGTCCGAGACGTGGTGACTTATCCCTCCTTCAATCAGCCCCAACAATGCCCGACAGGTGTAGAACGACGACTTTCCCTTCATAAAGGCTTGAAAGCTGGCAATAAGGCTCCAGCAGATCATTTGGATCGGGATCCAACGGTCCGGCCCAAGCTTCTTGGATATCAGCTGGGAAGGCAGCTCCGCCGATAGAAAGCACAGGTAGAAAATAGTCTGTCCATAGTTGTAGTCGTTGGTCGTCAGGTGGAGATCATCCAGCATGTTGTCTGTCAAGGCCTGGACGATGTTTGCTCTATCGAGCTGCACTGGTATGGTCTCAATACTCCAAATCGCATTGAACTAGTGTACAAGCATCTCAAGGCACTTACACGCGAAGAACGCTAAGCAGACCCATGAGCAGATCTTGAGATCGATCTTGCGCACGATCCTCTTCTCTTCGGCAGGTTCCCATTGGAACGAGGGATCGAAGCGATGCCGACCCTCCCACTTGTCGATAGGCACGTAGTTTTCCTCGCCATGGACACGAAGGAAGGTCTTGTCCTCGGTAATGGAACTGCTGCCAGAACTAAGACCCTCGTCGACTGCGAGAGTAACCGGAACAGTCTCTCCCTTCAAGTCATGAGATGGGTCGAATGAGCTCTCATTTGACTTGGAAGACGCCATATTGGAGCCAAAAGACGAGGATGAGACAAGAAAACTCCAAGAAGCTTGTGGCGGCGGTCCAAGATCTGGGCCTGACGGGGATTTCAACGGCAACCTTTCTGTCTTATACCTACCTAGAAACCCCCGGGACTTCAGTTTCCCAACAGTCCCTCCTTGCCGTGCTCGATTCTACTGCCTCGGAAAGATCAGCGTGCATATTGCATATTTTGCGTCCTTGCGACCTTCCTTCCCAGGCGTAATCACCCACGGCAGACGCTGTCATTCGGTAGACAGAACCGGTGGGAGATGACCTCGAAGACCTCACTGCACAGGCCCGATCACTAAGTGTGGATCCAATCAAACCGCCTCTGAGTGTAGGATACGCGTGCCGATCTCGGTTTGCAGCCTCAATCGCCAGCGGCGGGCGTCGTCCGAGACGAGGCCGACAGCGACAACGAGGCACGGTGTACCGTTTTCCGTAGTATTTGTAGCACTTCACACGCTCCATGTTGGATCGCAATTGGTCCAGATTGCTTATCTGCTCGCTCACGGCGGCGTGGCTTCGGACTTGCATAGAGAATTGCGCTGCGTAGAGTGTATACCTTTCCACTTGAGGAGATCACGCAATACCAACCGAGAAGGCGTGCTCACCACTGAGAACGGCGCAATCAGGTCTCAATTGGACCGCAATCATGCCATCAACGAAGAAACCCACGGCCGAGCTTTTTCATTAATCCAGATAGATATATCCAGGCTCCAACCAGCGGAGAACCGCACATGGCGGCCAGTGCCCTGCGGGGTTGATGTTTCAATTTGAGCGTCGATGAGCGAATCCTCTGGTTGGAGTTCTGGTCAGAGATTTCTCGTGCCGAATACCCTTGGTGTAGTATAAAGAGGGGTGTTCTCACAGCCTGGCATCTGGCCCAACTAGATTAGGGTCCAATATAGTCGTTCCCTGTAAAGAAGACAGTTTATCTCTCAAAATGGCGACCGCGTCTGCACCTACCACCCTCAAGGGGGCCGTGGGATCGTACAAGGACATCCAGACTGTGAGTTTCTCCAAGGAAAACGAATTGAAAGGCAACGAGAGGTTTGCGGCGGCAAGCTTCCCACACTATCTCCCTGTCTGGGATAATGAGAAAGGTGAACTGTAAGTGCTTGCCTGAGCCTGAACGATATGCGCGTGTTGCAGTGGCTTGGCCCCAGATAAGTCTAACCCATTCACTTTCCCTCGGGATTCAAACAGATATCCGCCTTTGGAACCCTTTGAGCATTACGAGCATGGAAAGGATGCCGACCCTTCGTTCAAGAACCTTTTGAAGGCCGGTAGCCACCTTGAGAACGTCACGGCGTCGATCGGTGCCGAGGTGACTGGTGTTCAACTCTCCCAGCTCGACGACAAAGGCAAAGATGAACTGGCTCTGTTGGTCGCCCAGAGGAAAGTCGTCGCTTTCCGAGACCAGGATTTTGCTTCTCTCCCTATCGAAAAGGCCTTGGAATTTGGACGGTACTTTGGAAGACTGCACATCCACCCTACCAGGCAAGCAATCTCACCCATTCCCTGTCCCCTTGCTGAACCAACAGTCTTGCTGACCTCCTGACAGTGGCGCTCCAGAGGGCTATCCTGAAGTCCACCTTGTCCACCGTGGTGCTGATGACAAGTCCTTCCTCGACTTCCTCACGAGCCGGACCAACTCGATCGCATGGCACAGCGATGTGACCTATGAACACCAGCCTCCTGGGACCACATTCTTGTATGCCCTGGACGTCCCCGACGCGGGTGGCGACACTCTGTTCTGCAACATGGTCAAGGCATATGAACGACTCTCTCCAGCTTTCCAGGAACGCCTGGCAGGTCTGCAGGCTGTCCATTCTGGCTATGAACAGGCCACTGCGGCCAAAAACCGGGGCAGCATCTACCGCCGTGCACCAGTCTCGTAAGTAACCTCGTGCTGGCTTGAGGAAATAGGCGATTGACAAGCAATAGTTCCATCCACCCCCTCGTGCGAACCCATCCGGCGACTGGCGAGAAGGCTCTGTATGTGAACCCTCAATTCACCAGATACATTGTCGGATTCAAGCAGGAAGAGAGCGATTATCTCCTAAAGTTCTTGTATGACCATATCGCCCTGAGCCAGGATATTCAGTGCCGTGTCAGATGGAGGCCAGGCACCGTGGTTGTTTGGGACAATCGTGTCACGACGCACTCTGCTCTGATCGACTGGCAGGATGGTCAACGACGACACATTGCGCGCATCACTCCGCAAGCAGAGCGCCCATATGAATAGAGACACCCAGTCGGGGGTGCAAACTGGTATGGACCTTTCTAGCCACACAACTAGAAACCTGACCGATCCTACTAGTCTTTAGCATAGCAATAGACACAGTCGTTTGCAATAATAAAATCGAGTTCACAAGAGAGTAGAAGATGTCTGTGATTGGCAACGCCATGGCGACTAGAATCACCTCCAGTTGTGACTGGGTCGCTCGAGATTCAGTCTGGTCACCAAAAGACCATGTTCACTATCCACTCCGTGCAGGACATTTTTGATGTTCTCATCCACTCCAGACGCCGAACAATGCCATCACACATGCATGAACCTATGAGAGTCTAATCTCCCTCGAGTCTGGCGACCACGGCGCTCATTTCGTCGTCACTGTAGATCCGAAATCCGTTCTCACGGGTGACACTGGCCAGTTGTACGTTCTTTGAATCCAGCTTCTCCTCCATAACCTGTTTCAGTGTCTTCAAAACCAGTGTCTCGGCTTCCTCCAAAGTCAGAGATCGGTGGTATTCTGATTGTAGCTCTGCTTGGGCTCCCTCGCTACCGGATCCGATGGCCTTTGCGTCGTAGCGGTAGAACGTGCCCGAGGGTTCTGCGTGATACCTGGACCAGTGAGCAACGAATATCCCAGATTGCGGAACGTCACTTACAGCTGCGGCCCTTGGTCCTCATCCCACCCCGCTATCAAGAGGGCAACACCAAATGGGCGACTCATTATTGATTCTTCTCCCTGTGCTCCTTCACCGAACCTCAACGCTAGATCGCAGATGGCTTGCGTACAGCTCTCGACTCCGAGTTTTTCGTTGAAGTTGAAGGCATGGTTTTGTGACTCCACGCGAGCATGTTCAATCATACTCCGTGCATCAGCCTGAAGACCCGACATAGCGCAGCCAACGTGTCTATCGATCTCCACAATCTTTTCTATGCTGGACGAGACGAGCAAGGGTGATGTAACGCGTTTTTCGACACCGAGAAGGACGCCATGTGATGTCGCAACCTGAAAGTCATAAGCAAGTGGTGAAGCGGTCAGGAGAGTATGTCCATACACCAATTGCTGTTGACCCGAGCTTGATAGCCTCTAACGAATATTCAACCTGGAATAGACGACCTTCTGGCGAGAAGGTGCTGCTTCTTGTTAGCCACGGGCTTCGTTGCAATAGCAAAATAGGCTCACTTGATCCCTCGGTCGTATTCTGATCGTGCTATAAACATGGCGAAAATGGGTCCAGATGATGGTTAATAAAGGGTCAGAATGTTCTCATGGGAGGAATCTGTACGTATGGTAGGTGAAAACCACAAGTTAGGATCGAAACAAGAAGGAAGAGTTTATGGTATTGTGGTGTGAACACTGAACAGGCAAGCTCTGGATGCGCAATCCTATCTTCAGCCTTCTCCAAAAAGTCCCTCCGCAGCCAAGCCCTAACGCAGCCTCGACGCGCCAGCGCATTGAACCATAGTGACCATCGAGGCACGCTTCGCACCCCAGAACCTCGCCCTCCAACAATCCCGTCTCAGCTGCTGCTGCTTGCGACTTATTGCCATACAACGATGACGGCCTGTAGAGATGACGTCCCTACATTACCGAAGCGCATCTGCAACTGACCGCCGAAGCGCCAGTCTATTGAACGGCCCCTCGCGCGTTAATCCCTCCAGAGCCAGAGACGACCGACCATTTACCCGCGATAATGGCTCCCCGGTGCTTCCAGATGGCTTCAGTGGACATGCTGAAGGAGTGCACAAGCCTTCAAAAAGTGAGAGTCGAGTGACTGGTCTCGAACAGAGACGGCGGGAGAAGACGACAGTCACAACAACCGAGACCTTTTATACGAGAAGGAGTCCGAAGAAAGACACGTCGAATATCGAAAGTCGGAAGGACAAACGGACGGTAGCAAGCCCTGTGCTCAAGCAGCAACCGCCAAATGAGGAGAATTGTAGGTATCCTTGGTGCTTTCAGCCTCTTCGCTCTCTGACAATCCTGCAGTAACATGGGCACCGTCGGTTTCTTTAGTTGCTCACTCTTCTGCTCCCTTAGCTACAAGGGTTACAGCACCACCTTTGTCCCGCAACGCTCCCTCAGATCTGGACCCCGTTCCTCTCGAGGCTATGTCGATGCAGGAGCAAGAGCGTGCATTATTGGACGATTTGCTCTATGTGTTTATGGGATTTGAGGGGCAATATGTTCGTTTCCACCACAACTACGATCCTGCGGAGGAGAAAGACCGCTTGAACGGGCCATCATTTCATCCACTTCCCGGTCTCGATCCCAGCCTGCGAGACTTGACAAGCTCCATGCTCTCGATGGCCACTCATCACTGCGCGATCGAGGCCTTTATCGAAGTCCAGAGTAGGGAAGAATTTGGCTCCGTCAACCACGCACTTTGTGCGGCCATCCGAAAGCTGCTGAAAGACTATCTCATCTTGATTGCACAGCTAGAAATGAAGGTCCTTACTGACCCGAAGTTCACATTACACCAAATGCACATTGCAGTAATCCCAACCGCACAATGTTTAGCCCAGCTGTACTCTCTTGCCCAAGAATTGTTGAAAAAGAACTCTTTGTTGGAAGAGGACATCGACGACTCGCTTCACGATTTCGACGCCGACAACATCATTGAGCGCCTGAAGGAAGGTGGTGATCTACTTCCGGGAAGCTTTGGCAAGAAACGATGTATAGGCGGTAATGTTCTGGGTCTCTTGACAACGCGGCTTTCCACGTTCTCTGGAGACCCGGCTGCTCGATCCATTCTGGAGATGCTGCTACGTGAAGCAAGCAGACCTTACATGGAGATGCTCAATGAGTGGTTGCATCACGGCGGCATCCACGATCCGCACTCGGAATTCTTGATCGGCGAAAGGGCTAGCATTAAACGAGAACGTCTCGACGAAGACTACACAGATGAGTACTGGGAAAAGCGTTATTACATTCGCGAAAAGGAAATTCCACCGCAGCTAGAATCCGTTCGAGATAAGGTCCTTCTCGCCGGAAAGTATCTCAATGTGGTCCGGGAGTGTGGCGGTGTCAACATCAGCAGCAAGATCGACGACATCCCGGCAACATTCGACGACCCGCGATTTCTCGACAATGTTAACAACGCCTATTCGTTTGCGAACAAGGAGCTGCTTCAATTGCTTCTCACAAAGAACTCACTCCGTAGCCGGTTACGGTCGATGAAACACTATTTTTTCCTTGACCGTGCGGAATTCTTTCTCTATTTTCTCGAACTTAGCGATTCAGAGCTTCGGAAGAAGAATCGAGATGTCAACGTTGGAAAACTCCAGTCTTTGCTAGACCTGGTCCTCCACCAGCCAGGCAGCATCGCGGTAGCGGATCCATTCAAGGAGGATGTGAAGGTGAAAATGAACTCGGTTGGGTTGACACAGTGGTTGATCAAGGTCGTCAATGTGCAAGGCATGGATCAGGATAATCCAGATTCCATGATGGACCCATACAAGACGCCGGCCACCGCCCAGGCTTCTGCAAGTGAAAAGTTCAAGGATGAGAAGAAAAAGGAGGAAGAGAAGGATATCATCGGGTTTGATGCACTAGAGCTTGACTACACAGTGCCGTTCCCCCTTTCTCTCATCATTAGTCGAAAAACTGTCTCACGATATCAACTCATCTTTCGGTACACATTGGCACTGCGTCACCTGGAAACCCAGCTGGTGGGTTGCTGGTCGACTCATACGAAGGAAAAAGCATGGATCCACAAGTCCTCTGACAAGAGATTTGAGTTGTGGAAGCGGCGGGTATGGACGTTACGTTCTCGAATGCTTGTGTTTGTTCAGCAAATGCTCTTCTTTGCAACTGCGGAAGTGATTGAACCGAACTGGCAGAAGCTCATGGTGAAGGTTGATGATGCTGAACGTGATGATTTCGAAGAGACCAGATCCGGACTCAATCCGAAAACAAAGCCTACGGTGGATGAATTGATGCAAGATCATGTCGACATGCTGGACTCGTGCATGAAGGATCTTGGATTGACGCAGGCGAGGCTGCTTCGTCTGCACGCAAAGCTCATGACCGGCTGTGGGATGTTCGCCTCATACGTTGAGCATGTCACCAAGTCAATTTATGAAGCGGATACGAGCATTCAATCCAAACCGCTTAAGCCTGGAGCCGTTCCACCTCCGGCTGCGCCCACAGATCCAGCACGAATGAAGAGGATAGAAGAATCTATCAGGAAGTACGAGGAGCACTTCAACAGACACTTGAAGATCTTGATTGATGCCCTCAATTGGTTTGCAACCACCGAGACTGTCTCTTTGCTCAGCCTCTGTGGAAGGCTGACGAATGCTGAGGTGCAGAAACGTGATGATTTGTTTCTTTGAGATGTGGTAGGAGAGAAAGGACTCTATATCGACTTGTCTCCATGTCAAGCAATGGGGATCTTCTGTATGAGACTTTGGCATTTGGGAGGCTTATGAGATTGATGAGAGTGCGTGTATGCACAACGGTAAAGACCATGAATGATACCCGCGGGACAACTGGCTGTTTTATCTGCAATTGCTTCGCTGTCTTTCTGCCTCACCATCAACATCAACATCTGTGACTGGAATCTCGCCAAGCTGGTGCGCATCTCATCCACAACAAGCATCACCTCGTTCATATTGGATGTTTGTTTCTTCCTCATTTCCCTAACTTCCCTCAACCCCTTCCATTGGTCTGTGACGGTGCTATGGCTTCGTTGACCCTGTCAATTGGGCCGCTGAAGCCCGACGCCTCAACCTTACAGGCGTGGTCTTCTCTAGGGCGGCCGCACGACAAGCAAGAGGTAGGATATGTGGCTCTGCTGCCCACGGGTGCCCTTTTGACAGGAAGACAGGAGAGCAGCAGCGAGGCGCAGGTGGTCCAACCGATCCAACTTGGCCTGTCCAGCCTCTCACGAAAGTTCTCCATGTCTGCGTATCTTTCGCCACGGCCGGTCGAGACCCGAGACGGCTCTCCGATTGTGACCTTCAATCAGAAACCCCTGGATGCCACATACCTCGTGCTGCTCGCCCTCAATGAGGAATGTCGCCGCATACGGCGAGGCTGTTTCTACCATCTGGCCCTGCGGCAGGATGTCTCCAAGGGCCATCCGTGTGACATGGTCTTCATCGACGAGCCCTGGGGCGAAAAGAGCGTGAAGGCATGGGACACTTCGAGATGGGACAAGCGGCTGAAGATATGTGCTGCGGGTACGAACATCTTTTGGTTTCACTCTGTTCATTCACACCAAGCTTTATTCACTGACCATTGTGCTGTTGACACCCAGCGAGAAAAATTCACCCTCACGAACAAGTGATACCTGTATGTTCGCGCGTACTTAAGTGTGACCTCTCGGAGGCAGCGAAGAGTATGACCACACAACCTCATTCCCTATATCTTTATATAAACGAGTCTAACATATCCGGGTGTCTAGCGTCGGGATGTGCCCATATGCACGCCAGCAATTCTGACCCAGCTATCGCTAACCACCCAGCGATCCGGACCTGGAGTCGCCCATTGATGGACACGTCGCGCGTTCTCATCCTCTACGCGCACCAGCACTCGACAGCCACGATTGCCCACCTCAACGCCGTGGAACATGCCTCGCAATGTACCACCTTCCCGACGCCCAACGACCTCTCCCTGACCACCCTCCCGAACTGGCAACAATCCACAACGGCCGTGTTCGGTCGACGGTCCAACTGCGACGCACCGACATCGAATGCCCAGCCGGTGTTGGCAGTCAAAGTGACCAACGCCGAGGTGGTGCTCGCGATGCTGTACATCTGGAACCGTGACCGCGTGGCCGTCCACCACAGTATTTATCCCAATGCCAAGAACAACAACGGCGACGTCGACGACGACGACGACGACGACCTCAAGCTCGACGTTATGGACCACTGGGAAACGGAATTTGGCTCCACTAAGGTCCTGTGGCAGGAGGTCGAGGACCGGATCGAGAACCACTCACTGGACACGCAAAAGGCCATGTTGGAATTCTGGCCCAAGGGTTGAACTGCGCAACAGTCATTGAATTTGCCACTTTCAGGCGTGAATTGTCCAGAAAGAATCTCAAAGTGTGTGCGGTGGATGGGTAACAGCCCTGTCCTGCTCAGAGGGAGAAGATAGGCGTGGGCGCCGCGAAAGGGATCCCACCCACGCGAGGATGCAAGGGTGCACTCATACAGTGGGTAGGAAAGCCTCCTGCCTGCAAAGGGCCTGGAGACAACGATATTCTTCACTCGTCGATATCGTTCTAGCTTTTCGAGAACCTGGAAACGACAAACGAGTCTTTGCGTCCGCACTAGTGCATTGAACTGGATCAAGACTTTTCACGTGCCTCATTCCTCGGCTTTCCATCTGGTGAATGTTCAATTGTTTGGATCCAATCACATCTCTATCACCTTGTTTTGTAGACACAGGGCTTAAGAACTCTGGCCTCTTCCTCGACCGTCATGTCACTGTCACCCACTCCGTGATCTGCCGCTGCTACACTGCCAGCACCAGGACGTCCTCGTCCCTTTAGCTTGACGTCCTCGATCTTCTGATATTCTCTACCATTCCATTTGAGCCCTTTGTATTTCCCGGCGGTCGGCACACCGGATTTGACGAACACCATGCTGACGAACATCTTGTTCGATTTGTCCACACTTCCTTCGCGCAAAAGGAATCCACGGCGGGTCATGACACTGACAAAGGCAGATATATCCGTTTCCTCTCCAGTAGCCTGAGTAGCCGTAGAGTCCTCCACGAAAAGTTCCCCCTGGACTTCATCATCACTACCTTCCACCCCTGTACCGCCGGTTTTCTTCTTGGCGTTCTGTTTCCTTCGCTTCTTTCCTACACTATTCTCCACGCTCTGCCCGGGTTGTCTTTTTGCCCTTCCAAAACGGGATTTGACTTCGCTCACCCAACACTCTCCCCTTCCATCTCCCCGAAGGATTCGCCATGCTTCTTCCACAAAGTTGATCCAATTCGTGCCCATGAGGCTGAGACAGAATACCGCAATATCCGCCTCACCATCTCTCAACGGCAAAGAGGAGATATCTGCTTTGGTGACCAAAGTGTTAGGAGTGTGGAGATCGAAGTTGTGAAATTTGAGTTTAAGGGCTTTAATAACGGATTGGGAACCGCGAGCGAGAGGAGCATCACCACAGCCCAGGTCGGCGATTGTGCAGGAACCTGTCTTACGACGAGGGAGTGGGGAGCTCTGTAGAGAGATCTTGAGGCTCTTGCCAGGCTGCTGCCTATTGGGCTCATGTGCTGTCGTGGATATTTGTCCTCTGGTTTTGATCGCGGAAATGTACCTGTCTACTGGGTTGACAGGCCACGAGTCTTTCACTTGCTGTGAAAATCCGGCATGGTACTCGGCGAAGAGGTCGGGAGAATTCGTGAAGAGAGTCATTGCGGCTGAGGAGGTGGTGGTATACAAGGTCTCGTTCAGGTGTCGGAAGCGGGCTGATGTGAGTTTGTTGCGCATTTTGGCTTGCAGAGGAGTCAGTCTCGCAGGTATTGGCGGTACAGGCGGAAGAGCTTTGCGTATGCTATCGCGTGGGATGGACCTCGAAGACGACACTTCCGCCTCGCCATCACCGTCCCTTCTGCCGTCATCCTCCGCTTTTTGCACTCGACCCGGCTGCACAGGCTGCTGTTGGCCATTGACCGTCGGGCGTATATTGTCCTTATTCTTCTTCCCGCGCCGCTTCGTATCTGTCACTGGGATGGTTTCTGCGCCAACCTTGTGTCGTTCAGCAGTTTGGTGACCATGTCTCTGAAGTTCCCCCTGCGTTATGCTGGCAGGTTTGGCCCCTGCACGCTGGTTCCATAGTTTCTCGAGCTCAGTCCCCGAGACTTTGGAGGCCTCATGATGATCGGGGAATGCGTTCTTTCTCTTTTTGGAGGCTGAAGTAAAAACCGAGGGAGATAGATGGGCGTCACTGGTTGAAGCGAGTTTTTCCTGGACGAGGGAAGTCGAGTCGACTGCCCAACCCGGAACCGCGAACATGATACGTAGGAGAACGGCGAGGCAGGGATTATGAGGAGGGGATTATGTCGAGGCGACGGTTAGGCATGCTGCAGGTCTCAGATGGATTTCAAGCCAGTGTCACGGTAATTTTGGCGCAGTGCAATTGACGGGGTGTTTGCCAAATAATGTGTTGAACTCTGCATGCCACCACAAAAATTTATCAGGGTACTTGGTCGTAGTCTGGTGTGTGTGTGGTACGTTCCCGCAGCCCCGGTAGCCACTCTGCCACTGCCTGTACCCATCGGCAAGTGCCTGGTCAGAGCCGCAGTTGCAGATTTGGGGGCGGGGCAGCAGGCCCCATTGGAGATGTTGTTATTGGCTTGGTCATTAGTTGATCCTACAGCCCAACGGCCACTTACGAAGAGCACTTCATCGACTCTTTTGGGCATTACGATACCTTACAAGCCACAAATTGCAGACATGCTCGTGCATAGGCAATAGTCAGGAGCATGGAGCCGGATTAGGCTCCTACCCCTCACGGCACAGAGCATAGGGAAGCTCAAAGACGTGCTCAATTACACATTAGAAAACAACCACTTGGTATGCTCCAGGAGAATAGGTTACAAATAATCACAGTAGCTACTATATAGGACAATATAAAGACCCTGCAGTCCAACGTGCCAGCGCTTGGCAAGCACGCGTGTACACAAATATCACGAAAAATCGCCCAACATCTGACCTGCGCCTATATCTCAGTTGAGAGGCATCATATGTGCGACTATTTACCGAACCTCACGCCGCAGCGTGAGAAGCAAGTGTAACCGATCCCCGAGGAGCCATGATTGGGGTGACCGCAGGGGTGCATTGCTTGTAGGTGCTCGGTAAGGCTCAGTAAAAGGGTCTTTGCAGGGGTGAACCGTACCTACCTAACTAGGTACTATAGGGATGGAGGTGTTGGTTTAAGTGACGATTTCGTGTGTGGGCGTGCCTAGGTAGGTTCTCACTTAGGTACCTCTGGATAGGATGCAGGACACCAGGGCACCACCTGCAGAGGCTCCATCACCCCCGCACTGCAGGTCTCATGAGACTCTTGCATCACGCCAAGAGCATATCTCGATGATGCCCGCTGAAGCCCTAATGAGGAGGGCGACAATTCCCTTCTTCCTTTACCCGTTCCTCGTGCCTCTCCTCTCCATCGATGAACAATTGTTTTTTTCTTCGTCCGCTTAACGTTCGCTTTACCTGCTCGCTACACCTGCAATCGGATTGCGATCTCGGCAGGACTTTCCAGGCTCACAAAACAAGGGTCTAGGCAGAAGTCCCGGAACCTCCCCCCTTTCTGACCGCATGGCGCTATACCTCCTCACAACAAGCCTTGTCGGCCTACGAACGATCCCTTTCTGCCCCGACAACAGCCAAAGACATAGCAGCCATACGGATTGTGCATAAATAGGTTAACCCCTTTCAGACTATAGCTCTCAAGCCCCACCAATGGTTCAACTCCCTCACCCTGATCACCCCACCGGGCGCTCTCTAGATACGAGTGGCTGATATCCAGTAGTTGTTGTGCCATTCTACCTACCAAAGAAAACCCCTCTTGATACACCCTGCCCGCAGCTCCACCACCAACCGTCGAACTCAAGTTTTGCGCCGGTTTTGAACCTGGCCCTTTCACTGCAGGGCGGCGACTTGACCTGGCACCTTTGGACGGTCGAAAAACGCCATCAATCCTGCATCAGGCAGCAGATCGGCCGGAAACGGCCCTTGTCTCAACTCCGATTTAATAATTCCTGGCTTAGCGATGTTTTGTGCGCACCACGTGTGAGCATGTGGTTGAAGATCGACAGGTGAAGATATGCAATAGGCTGTCTGTGGCAGGCTCATCAACCTCCCATCCCTGAAATGAATCTCCCAAACCGCCATCCTGCGAGGAACTACGGAGTGCACTCTAGTGGGGCAGAAGAGCAACGCACGTTGAGGGAGCCTCGAAGGTCGCGTGGCTAGCGTGGGCTTGTCTACCCTACTACCCTTCAGAGAACTGCGCGGAACGAACATGGTCTTTCCCCTTGATGCCCCGTCTAGGCGGAAACCACTGGGGGTGAACCGCCAACTCGTCGATCCATCGATCCATCGATCCATCTTCCAGTCGATTCTCCACGACCGACAGTTCATCAATGTGACCTGACTCGCAACATTGTAACACTCGAGGGTAACCATCGACGAGTTTGGCTACTGGAGCAATTACCAAGACGCCCATCAGAGCTAGAAGATCAACTTCCATTCACGACGGGGACCAGATGAAAAATACTGGTACTTTCACCGATACAAGGTGGTTCAAGGGTGGTTGGCTATCATCATATCTCGGTGGGGAGCTTATACAGGTAGCAGCAAAGAGACATTTTGGTGGTGCCAGCCGGTTTAGCTGCTGGTGGCTGCAGCTTGGGTCCTTGAAGAAAGCTCACCCCGAACTAGGAATGGAGGGAGACTCTACCCGGCCGTGTCGATCCAACAATGTCCTCCAATTCTCCGCCACAATTTTCCTTTACGGAAACGAAAGTGCTGCTAAGGACTTTTCCCATCGAGTACAAAGCTTCATTAGCACGGCTTTTTCGTCACAAATCAGCCCTATGCTTCTCCATCCTAACTTTTTTTTTCTCTCCTGTACAACGCTTACTGGTCAGTACCGACCCCTATGACTTTGCTTCTGCAAGCCGCCAACTTGTCTTACCCTCCCTGGTACCCTGCATCCTTGTCCTGGCCTCCTGTGAGGTACCAGAAGACCCCCTCGCCGGTTGTTCACAACATGCCCGGCTGATTTAGACCACCATACCTCTCTCGGGACTGTTACTATTTGTACGTACTGCAAGGGTGCCTTTCCCCTATTGTCTGCCGTACCACATGGCGGACCTTCTGTCGTTCTTCACGAACCCGCCAATCATCTGAGCCGCTCGTCGTCACTCTGCATATGCGCTTGCACCGATTGTCAGTATCACAACCTCCTCATGTTGTGGGTGCCCGGAAAGTCGACCACCGTGCCTCAGTGGAGACATCGGTCCTCGGCAGGTTCCCAGTGCGTCTAGGAATGATATTCCACGTCCCCGGCGTGTCTTCTTTCCTTCCCTCACCGCAATCGGGTCTAGCAGAATGCAATGAAACCGGCTTCCTTCTTTCAAGGGAAAAGTGTGCGCTATCGCAAAGGGTATGGAACAGCAGACTGGTTGCCCACACCTGATGCCAGTACCAATAGCTCAGCGGCGAGCAGTTCTCCGCAGTGCATATCCTGGCTTCTCGGAACTTCCCTCCCACTCTAAACTGTTTTGTTCCCAATGTGCGGTCCAGCCATTGTTTTGTTATCAGCCCGTTGCTGGCCACTTTGTAATTCGCAAGCTCCAAATTGTCCTCAATACCTGACATATCAACAGAATCGTCCTGATGCCTGACGATTAGAACTTCAATGTCTCCTACGCCGGAAGAAGAGGAAGTCTTTAATGTCAAGAGATCTGGCAGTGGGCCAGAGGAGGAGGAGGATGCAGCAATAGTCGACGCCACGCCGAAGCAGCCAACTAAGAAACGGACCAAGACTGGATGTCTCAGTGAGTTTGACCTCGTCTTCGGACACCACCTGCGAAGCACTCATACTGATATCCGTCTCTTCAACAAGCATGCCGTAAAAGACGGTAAGCTCGGTCCCTGATATCTCTATCCTCGGGACTGTGGTCATTGCCCTTTCATGGTCGATACAAGCTAACATACGTTTTCAGAATAAAATGTGGAGAAGAGAAGCCAGTAAGCCTCGTCCTCGTTTTCCATGCACTCATCGACGTATCCTGACTACGGATTTAGGTATGCAAGAACTGTATCAAATCGAAGCGCGAATGTGCAGGATATCAACCTGTGGCGAACAAAGAGCAGATCCTAGGACAGACCGATATATCCCAAGAAACTGGCGCTCATCTGTCGTTTCAAGATCACGATGTCTCAACTGCGTTCAACCAACGTTGGCAACCAGGACCGGAATACCTGGAAATGCCACATGACTTTGGTCAAACGAATCCCTCGCCCTATAATCAACTACCATTCAGCGCCAGCTACCATGCGATTCCATTCCCTCCGACCAACCTCTCTAATCACACGGGCATTCCGGTCATAGGTCCGGAATATGGATGGCAGGGTACGCAGCATCCACCAAACCTGCCTTATCATGGAATGGCGGAAACCTCAAGAGAAACTGTACCAGGGTTCACCTTCCCGGACAACCAGGCTGGAAGGACTTCGACGACCGTCTTCCCTCTCGACCCCCGATTGATGGATCAGCCGGCGACATGGGGTTTCAATCCTGCTTTGGCTCAACTTCAGTCACCGCAGTCAACACTCACCAGCAACCATATTATGGCCTCACAGCAGCCGATTCTGTCTCAATTCCAACAACGGCGTGCTCCACTGTCTTACCAGTACGACGTATCACCCCTACCTATAGAGGGTATGTAGGCCAATACAATTGTCATCCATCAAGCTCTTTTATACTCAGTGCTAAGCTCTTCGCAGAACATGTGGCTAGGCAACACAGTGCGCATGGTAGTACACATCAGCCGGGATTCATAAATACCGCATCCCATGGTCCTTCTGTGCTTCGGCGTCCTACATCTCAGATGAATGACGACGAGGACGACGACGATGACGACCCATTCGACGTTGAAATGGAAGATTCAAACCTCTCATATCAAGAAGCGGCAAACAATCTCACAGAGATGCTCGGTCGTGCTGGGCAGGTCGATGTACAGGCTTCGAAATTGTACATTCCCAGGAGGACTGAGTATCGAACCGTCGCGACGTACCGGCCGACTATAACACAATCCCCTCTTCACGATGAGAGAAACGAGCATATATTTTGCCATTTTGTTGAAATTACGAGCAATACTATATCAATTTTCGAGAGACATCACTACAGCCCTATTGCGGCCCCTGCGAGAACTCTCTGGAATTTCACAATGCCGGCTCTGGCGTTGTCGCATACCGCACTTGCGCATGCGATTCTGGCATTGGGGGCCCTTCATCTTGCGAAGCTGAATAACTCGTCAGAAAACCTCGCGATCAAGCATTTCACCTGTGCAGTGCGAAGGGTTGGGAGACTGCTGGGGTTACCGAAACGGCGGCACGAAATAGCAACTCTGGCTACAGTCCTGCTCCTTGGATACTACGAGGTCGTCTCTGGCGACCATTCACGGTGGAACCTTCATTTGTCAGGAGCTACGAGGCTCCTACAGGAGCATGACTTTGCCGGCTTGACCCGAACGACGAGACGCATGCGAACTGGTGCAAAGGCACGAATCAACCAGTGGACTGTTCAATTTGCGTTGACCGACGAAAACTATGCTCGTGTAGCTGGTATTCCTCTTACCCTGCTTGACGACGCTGACTGGGAGGTCGATCAGACACTCGTCTCCCGACTGACAGGCCTCCGCGTGAACTATGACCAACAATTCCAGCCAAGCTTCGCCTCGCGGCCTGCAATGCCGGACCTGAGCGAGAAAGATGTTGAAGATTTCAAGGCCAAACTGGACTTGAGGTGGTGGTACTGCAAGCAAGACGTTTTCCAGAGCATGGTATCCGGCGACCGGCCGCTTATGGCCTACCAGGAATGGATCTACTGCCCCCCTCGAGGTCAAATTGGACGGGCGGACAATCCATATGCGACCCTGGATCACTTGCTACTGGTCATGGCACGCCTAACTGATTTCGGAGGCAAAGATCGTCTGCGCAAGCAACGGGTGGTGGCTATGCAGGGAGGGCAATGGAGGCCCCCGAAATGGCTGTTTGGATCTCAAGGACAACCTGGTCCATCAGGACGGAAGGACGGTCCTGCTCATCCAAAGCAGGCTTCGGAATCACCTCCTGAGAAGGCTTCTGCAGCCACCAAGCTGGGCGCTGCTCCGGCCCAGGCTGGAGCAAGACCATCCCCAGCCCCCAGCGCCAACGAAGGGAGAGTGAGGCAGAGTAAACCCGGCTTACCGGGTGGTTCTGGTCCTGGACCGGGGGCTGGTCCTCCTATGCTTGGGATGCTCCCGCCTGCGACCGAGCCACTGCAGCTGGATTCTGCTTTTCGGTCTATGGACGCCAACATCAAAGACTCGGCGTTTGCGTTCAAAAGAGAGCGAAAGGAGAGCACGCCGCCTAGCAATCTCGAGGACGATACAGCCAAGGCACTTGCAGAGTACAACGAGATAGGCAAAGCCTTTGATACCTTCGCAGAAAACCTGGGCACAGACTTTGAGCCTCTCAAACAAACCGGGCCCCCGGTCGGTACGCCTTTTGGGCCAGCACTCATCTACAAAAATGGCGCAGTGGCGTGTATATGGGCATGCTACTACGTTGGGCGCATCTTATGGCAGCGCCTTCACCCCGAGATGCCGCCTGCAGCAGTGGTTGCTGCTGGCGTCACGGCGCACCTCACTCGGGAGTATACGCAGATGGTCGGCCAGATCTGCGCAGGGCTGTACTCAAGACAGCTCTATGGCCAGAGCGGAGCCCTGGACCCAAGCTTCGCAGGCTACCTCATGGAGAGTACCTTCTTCCTGTTGTTTGCAGCCATCCAGTTTACAGACGCTGTGCAGCGAGGGTGGACAATAAGCAAACTCAAAGACGTCGAACGCAGATGTGGATGGCGTACATCAGGCGCCATCGCTGGCGCTTGCGAGACTGCCTGGGAACGAATGGCGCAAGCAGGACGAGGCCCGCCCTACGAGCGAACTCTGGCTGCTCACGACGAGGACATCCGCATGAGCAAGACATCGGCAAAGTCATCTCCATCAAGTGGAGGACCTTCCGATGCCGCCGTCGAACAGCATGAGTCGGAATTCGTGAACCACGATCGCAGCCTCATTGATCGGTCCAGCTCGACCCGTGTGCATTGGGCTCTGGGCTTGCTTTCGGTCGAAGAAGATATCCAGAAAATGGCCCTGGAGGACAACTAGGTGTTGACATATCACATTGCTAGAGACTAGGGGCCGCCCTTGCCTCTCTGTCGAGACGTGCATGTGTGTGGTGGTTCGTGGTGGTTCTTGCTTCAATGCCACCTCCGTCTCTTCACATCATGGGAGTCCATCTCAATCCGACATTTACCTCTCTTTAATATCTCTATCTTTACCCTATTTTGCTGCATATCCTAGAACCTATTTTGCTGCATGTCCTAGAATCAGTATCTAGCTCTCTCCTCCTAATCGCAGAGACCTCATCATTGCCCTATCTCTCCCCTCCATCGACTTCTTGATCATGGCCAATCCAACTCACATCCCAGCGAGGGAGAATTCTACCATCGAGTCTCAGGCACAAGCAAAAGATCAAGACGCAGCGGCTCCCTTCAGGAAAGACATCACCTCCTATTTCGACATCTCCGGCTTGTCTCATGGCAACGGCACGGCCGACATCAGTTCTGAGACGCAGCTTCGGCGACATTCGCCCACCACCGCGACAAGGCGTCCGTATTTCAGGTTCTATTCAGACTTTGATGCTCTGCAAAAGTGCTACACAACCACACCGCCAAAAGAGACCCGCCCACCGTTGACGCACTCTCTTCGGTTTGAAGTGACACTGTCTCCAAAACCAGGAGCTGACCAATCTCTAGACGCTTCTTCTCTCCCTTCCTCGCCATGTACCTCTGCACCGTCCGCAGAGACTTCGCCTCCCTGGGGTTCACGTCCGTCAAAAGAGAAGCATTCATATCTCCGACATCGCCCAAAGCTGAGGCGTATTCTGGCGACGTCTCCTTCTTGGGACGTTGGCCTTGAGGGAAGAGAAGCCTCGGCTGGATCTGTGCGACGACTTTCTTCGACTGCGTCAGAGGCGCAGACGAGTGTTGGCGATATCATTGTTGTCCGAACAGACCAAACCCCATTAACGCCGCCATCAAGGAGTTTTCCCACTACCGAGATGCCCACGCCGAGTTCTATAAGGGTGGAAACAGAGTTCCCGGAGCACCGCAGCTCGAGTCACAGCCCACAACGGGGAACGCACTCTCACTCTTCGGAACAGCAAAGTCAGACTTCGTCCCGGAGGAGTTCTATGACCCCCAAGGTAGTTCTAGCGACCCCGCTCAAATACATCCGCCAGGCGAGTCCACTCAAACAATCGAGGACCACAACGAAAACTGAAGCCCCTCAGTCCACTCCGGTAGGTCGGGATCGACGGATGGCAGACCACACCAGCCAGATCAAGAGAAACTATACGTTGGAAGCACTCGAACTTGTGACGGGGATCTTGCAGGAGATAAAGCTCGCACCACCGAGTTCGCTGTGGCTATCTCAGGTAATAAAGCCCTTGAGATGGAGAACATCCTCGAATAAGTCGCCCTCGCATCAAAAGAAAAACGAACCACGAACCATGCAGGGGATTATATCGGAGATCAACGACAATCACAAAGGCAGTGGTGAATTGCTCTCTGGGCTTCAATCATATACCTCTAGCCAGATAAATTTGCGTATGGGCAACGTGCCTATGAACACCCCAGATGAGACGGCCACATACAAAATTAAAAGGAGCCCTAGTGCAGAAACCGAGGAATACTTCAGGGTCGATATCAGTATTAGAGGGGGTACGAGCTATCTCCCAAGTGAAGCTCGTCGAATACACACGCCGCCACTTCCAGAGGCAGGATTAGATGGCCGACTGAAGGGGTTTTTCTTCGACTACAATGCGCCGGGGCGGTCTGTGTGCCTACGAGGGACAGAAACCCCCGAAGGTGCAGTTGACAGCGTAAGCACCAATCAGGACAGCAGTGGAACCTCGGGTCACAGTCGAACCATGCCGGCCGGTAAGAAGCCAGGGAAGATCAAGAGCAAGAACAAGCGGATCCTGGCCGGGGATTGGTACGATGTGAAGCTGGCAGAAGTTGACATGAACATCCAGGCGGACAAAGGCGAGATGAACCACGCTAAACAAGGCGAAAAGAGAGTCAACTCGCCTCAGTGCCTTCACAAAATCCGCAAGAACCAGCGCGATGCCGCCGAGTTCGACCTGACCATCCCCGAGCATCTGCCCAACAGTCCACTGTGTCCGCGGCACACCAAGTATTGGCGCGTGGTCAGGGAGCGTGGAAGCCAATTCAGGGGCTGTTGGATGCACGGTCTGGGTATTTTTCAAGCAGAGCCTTCACAAAGCAATTAGCAATCTCAGCGTCTGTTCCTATACCGCCTACGAGCGAGCATGTGCCCGGTAGTCCTAGAATATTCGGAGCAAAAAATAAAAACCAAGAAAGGATATTTTACTTAGTTACAACTGGATATGCGCGGCGTGACAATGCTTCCCCAAGTCCGATCGGACCGTAGCCAATTTATCTATTTATCCCGCGCAACTGAATCTGTGCTTTGGAGACACGGAACAAAAGTTCGTTCCAGGCTGCATCACCTTGTACTTGTTGTATATCGAGGGCAGCCGTTAACTCCCAAGACGCCTGGAGCAGCATGGGGGCGGATTTTGCAGTCGTCGTACTATCCTGGTCATCTACAACCATCTGCCGAAGCCGTCCATGCGCTTGCTGGCCATCATGCATACGTATCAAGTTAATCCCGTATCCTCAGGCCTTTGCTCGATTTCCGAAAACTAAATACTCCATTCCATGTTGGCTTGCTCTTACTCCTCAGCCAGAGTCTGGCCCTCCCTCAACCCTTCCACTTTCAATTCCTCTCCCATTGCCCTCTGATAGATGTCTCTGACATTCTCCGTGACGGTCTCAAAGTGGCTCGATGCGTCAAAGCTGTTGCTGATGAAGATCTGGTCGTTCACGCCACTTTCCAATGGTTGGTATAGAGGGATCGGCGGCCCCATGAATTTCTCTTCAATGCGGCCAAGTCTCTCGAGTCCCGGCTGCAGCTCAAGGTGATGGTTTGCAGAGGTTTCGGCGATGGTGGAGACGATGGCAATGTAGTATCCTTTGGGACACACGTTGTGGGCCGAGGATACCATGGCAATGTAGATGTCATGTTTTCGACCAACCTGTGATTGGGGAATGATGAGTTGCAAGGAGTCGGCATCCCCGGTCTTCTCAAGCGGGTGGTTCAAGATACAGATGGCCTTGAGGAGGTGACCGACCACTTGAACTTTGCCGGGGAAATAGGAGGGGTCACCGAGGATCATCTTGGTCTTTGTGGTGAATTTCATGCCTTCTTCATTCTCTTCGCCACGTTCTCGCATAGTTGCTTTGATACCGGCGACTTTGTTGCCATCGTAGAGAAACTCGTCCACCGAGGTGTTGAGCATGTACGTACCCCCGTAGATAGCGGAGAGACGGGCAAAGCCTTGTGGGAGCTCCCCTAAGCCGTATAGCGGGTAAATGTAGGGTGATTTGCCGTAACGAGCCATCGAGTTGGCGTACAGGCGGATTCTCTCAACGGTCTCCTTAGCCATGCCAGGTGCGTTGATGTACTCGTCAGTCGAGTAAAGTGCCATAGAGTGACCAATAAAGTCTCGCGTAGAGGGTTCCAGTCCGAACTTGTCATAAACCTCTTTCATGGTGCATTGATTCATGTTCATTCCTGCGGCAAATGATCAGCTCCCATCCGATATGATTCCATGTTACTTTAATGCCCACCATTGTGTGTTGCCGGGTTGTTCTCCTCAAATGCACCCACCCACTCCAGAAATTTCTTTGCCCTTCTCTTCTCGAATAGGCCCATCAGAGGTGAACTTAATGCCTCTGCAGCGGTAGATGGGACTTTCGCCACTGTTGCGCGTGGACCTGAGCCTTGCTGTACAAAGCTTCCTGCGATCTGTTTGAATTCGAGGTATCGGGTGACATCGGTAGAGACGAGGATGTTTGTGAGTTCGCCATTTGCCATCAAGAGCTTGGGAACTAGGTCAATGTTCCAGTCGTTGGTGCGGCCGTATTTCTTCCACGGCTCTTCGCCCGGTTTATGGGTTCCGTATCTCTTGAAGAGCTAGATAGATGGAAGGTCAGACCAGGTTTTCTCTCTCATGGGTGTTTTGTTCTTGCTCACAGCTTCAATGTTGATAGACGCAGCCTCACTGTGTACTCCTGGTCAGTTGGAATTCCCCTATCATTCTATTCAGGACTGCGATTCGCGTACCCGCCGTAATGGTCGTTACGATCGATGTGGAGGACTTTCTTGCCCTTGACGGAAAGGACGCTGTGATCTAATTAGCGGAGAATGCTTCACACGTATGGCTGCGCTGATTCTCACCCAGAGAGCACGCATTCTGTCAAGCCTAAAACAGGACGAGTCAACAAAAAGGCGGGGTCGGAGGGATGGGCGAAGGTCATTACCTGTGCCTAGGACGATAACATCGTATTCTGGGGCGATCTCTTCCATTGTCGAAGGGCGTCAAATGAATGTCGAGCGTGACAAATGATTGTGAGAAGGCAGGTATATATGGGGAGAATTGGCAAAAGGTTAAGGGTCGGTGAACAATGTTGTCGCGCTATCCCACCGCAGGATGTCAGGTCGCTCTTGTCGAAGCGCAGCGAATGAGGTCATGGCTGCCAAGACCTGCTACAGTTTAGACTCGCCGTTGCTTCCCCATGAAGCCTCAGCCTTGCAAGGGGGAGCTCAGCCTCGTGGCAGGATGCTCATGAACTATGTATGCATACTAGGACAGTCGTGCACAGTTGTGAACAACCTAGTTAGGGGCTCATTGCGCCACTTTCACTTGCTAGGCTGGAGAAGTGATCGTTTGTTACAATAGCCATCTAGCCCCTTTCCGCGTGGAGTATCAGGAAGCCGCACTCAGCTTCTCTGCCTCGCGCTTCATCCGCGCTCTAGAAATGGCAATTTGCTCTGTCAATCTCCACGGATAATCAAATGTGTCCATGAATATCTCACACAGCTAGAGAGCCATTAGTCCGAAAACATGCCAGCAACGTCCAGGGGCAAGACATACCTGAATACTGTTCCCACTTGCGAAATCATCGTCGCTCAAGACTGCCTCAAGCTCTTCGACTGTCTTCGTAGCGCGACTCTTTGCCTTGACACCATTATCTTCTCTTGCTCCGAAGAAATCAAGCATCTTCTGGTAGTCCCACATCATGCTCACGTCGTTGTAACCCTGCTTTGGTCCGTGGATTGCTCTCTCAATGGCATATCCGTTGTTGTTGATGACAAAGATGATGGGTTTGAAGCCGTAACGGATGTAGGAGCCTATCTCTTGCACCGTCATCTGGAGACTTCCCTCGCCGACGATCAAGACAATACGTCCGGGAGCATTGAGCTCCTTTACCGCGACCATTGCGCCAAGGCAGGCACCGACCGTGAATCCGATCGATGACCAGAAAGTCTGCGTGATATACTTGATATTGGGTGGGAAAGTGGCATCTGGCATCCCGAATTGAGCTGTCCCAGACTCTACCAAAAGAATATCGTCGCTTCTCAAGAACCGACCGAGTCGTTGCCAGACGTACGATTGTTTTATCTCTCCGGACTTCAAATCATTCAGTATGGGTGTCTTGATCCTCGGGGCTTTGGTGGGGCGTGGAAGGTCATATTTCTGAGGGTTTGCCTTCAGTTCTGAGACGATCTTTTTCAGGATCGGCAGAAAATGAACGCCACCAAAGTTCTGGGTTTTGACCTGGCAAGAGTCGTGTCCAAGGAGCACAAGATGCTCGTCCTTGATTTCCCGTGTGAAACCCCCGGTGTTGGAATCCGAGAGAAGTGGCCCAAGATTTAGGACGAGATCGGAGGACTCGATACCCTCAGCCACCCCGGGAAAGGACACTAACCATAGGTCAGTGGATATGAAGGAGCCGCCTACAGACTACTAACCTTTGCCATTGTACAGTCCGCTGTAATAAGGGAGAGTTTCGTCGATGACTCCTTTGGACAATGGTGTAGAGTAACAGGGAAACTGGGTGAGCTCGGCAAGCTCTCTGGTCAATTCCCGACCGCCGTGGCGGACAGTGAGCACATCGGCCAAGATCACTGGGTTTGAGGCTTCCTTGATTAGAGAGAGAACATCGCTGACAATCTGAGCTTCAATCTTGCCGTCCTTGTTTTGTACAGTCAGGTCCAGCGGTGTGTCCAGTCGCTTTGCGTCCAGTTGCACCGCCACGGCATCGACAGGGACGTAGATATAGACCGGAAGTCGACTCCGTACGCAGGCGACAATGGTTCGGTCAATCTCCTCAGCCATCGTCTTGTCATCCATCAGATAGGCATGTGTCTCCCTGATGGGTGCTGCCATATGAATGTAGGTCGCGTGATCCATGTTGGCTTTCATGGTGTGATGCAGCATTGCTCGGGCCTTTTGCAGCGATCGTGCCGGCATTCCCACGATGTGAATCATGCCTGCATGCTCTGCGTAGCTATTTGCCCCATCACAGCATGTGTCAGTATTTGTCAAGATATAGTAACTGGCAGACGACAAAGCCCCATCATGGTCAAGAACAAACTTACGCTCCAGCCACCCCATTCATCGCAGATAGCTCCCCTACGGCGTATGTCGTGACCAGCACAGCCGGCGAACCTTTGATCCTAGTGTAGCCATCAGCAGCATACGCGCCGTTGAGTTCGTTGCAGCAGCCAATCCATTTCAACCCCGAGACGTTGTAGATTTCATCGAGAAGAGTGACTGCGGCGACACCGAATCAGAGTGACATCCTTGCACAAATGTTAGCCAGGGTAGAACTGGCACTGACGGTTAAAATCCCCTGGGACGCCTAGGATATGTTCTGTGCCGAGTTGCTTGATTCTCTGAAAGAGGTACTGGCCCATACATATGGTAGGCGCAGACATGATGGTGGTGGTGAAGTCAGTTGCAGGCTGATGTGAGAAGAACCAGAGCAGTCAACAACATATATGGAATAGACTTTGTGACGCTTTTCGGGAGTATCGTTGGGGGAATTTATACTCTCGCTAAATGATGACGATCACAATAGTTGAACTGTGAGGGAGTCTACGGCAAGGGCAAGGGCGTGCACGGGAGTTGTCCATGTCAAGAGGCTGAGAGAAGATGTTACGGCCGAGGCTGTGGGGAAAGTGGGAATTCTGCGATCCATGCGCTTATTCACGGATGGTTGTGTGGAAAGACGGAGTTGTTGCGGGGAGTTTTCTCTGTCCTACTTGGTGTGGTAAGCGATGTTTGTGTCTTACAGACACCTCGTTTGGTGTCACTGTCGGATCCATGCTTCTACTTCACACGGTGTTTTGTTGGCGCTCAGTTCGGCCCGAAGGTAAGAGTCAAAGGTTTCTAGACTATGTATCCAGTGCTTTTCCATTTGCCTCAGCTATCAAGCAGTGTCCGAGGATTCGGCGAAAGACTCCCTATGATGCTGCAAGGGTATCTACGGATTTCGTCCTCTTTGGAATTCGGGAGTCCAAGGGCCGAAGCCATTCAATTGTTGTCTTTATGGGAATGCAATCCCTCCATCCACATGGATAACCTGGCCGGTGATATACGAGGCCGCTGGGCTCGCCATGAACAGGACCGTTTCCGCGATCTCTTTGGGTGTGCCTTCTCTCTTGATGTGCTGATTGTTCCTCAGCCTCGCACCAATCGGAGTGCCTTCCATGGACAGATCAGTGGCAGTCGGGCCGGGAGACACCACGTTGGCCGTGATACCCTTGGGCCCCAACTCTTCTGAAATAGCCACGGTCATCGAGGTCAGAGCCCCTTTGGACGCACAGTAGACGGGCAGCATCCATGAACCAAGTCGTGAAATGATGCTTCCAATGTTGATGATGCGTCCGCCAGTCGTCATGTACGGCAGCGCTGCCTGAATGAGAACGAATGGGCCTCGTACATTGATACGGAACACCGGGTCCCACTCGTCGAATCCTACAGATGCGATGCCCTGGATGTTCGGCGTGGCGAAGCCAGCATTGTTGACGATGATGTCGATGGTTTTGGTGTTGAACTCCTTCAGGGCAGCGTTGACCAGAGTGCTGCCAAAGTCGGCGCTCGATGCATCGGCTTTGACTGCGGCAGACTGAACGCCCAGACTCTTGATTTTGGCCACGACTTCCTCTGCTGGTCCGGCCGAGCTGTTGTAATGGATCAAGACCTGAGTTTGCAGTGTCAGCGCAGGCTGTGTTCAGAACGATATCGACAAGCATACATTGGCACCGTGTTCAGCGAGCGCAATTGCAGACGCCGCCCCAATTCCATTCGGCTTGCCTGCACCTGTGACGATGGCAGTCTTGCCCTTGAGGTATTGTTGTTCCATAGCGTGTTAGTTAGGTCTAACGAGATAGAATCTGTCACAAGGAATTTCTGAAAGTAGAGGGCTGGTGTGTCAATAGTGAAGCAAACAAGACGAACACAGACCGTGTGAAATGTCCCTTTTAATATCTGAATCCCAGTGTGTGAGTCTTGGAATCGAATACGAACCCCGCTTCTTCTCAGCAGAACTTTGTTTGTGGATGCGGTCATTGTCAATGCATCGCATCCCCTTGCATTACAGAGCATCTACACCCAGACCGGAGCCTCGCAGTTTGCTCTTATTCCCACGCTCCGCCGCCCTGATAGACCGCTGACTGATGACTGATGGTGGAGGCAGTCAAGGTTTCGTCTGGGAGGATCCCGACGGGGCAAGACGAACAGCGAAAGCCAATCCGATCCCTCGAGCATTTTCTCAAAACGATCTCATCTGCGACGCCACCAGATGCTCTCCAGAACGATTACCTGATCACGGCCCGCAGCCTCAGCCTCCATTGGGTCGCTCGCTCGGTTAGAAGAAACCTCATGAGCCTCGTCGGAGCACCCATCTTCTTGAAAAAACTCAAGCATAGGGACAAGCCTTCTATGACGGACTGCGGATTATTCAGAGTGACAATGGATGAATTACCAACCTTTCGTCGCTGTCGACTCGATGAGCGCCAACTCGACCATGACGGTTCTTGTTGTCCAGTGGGTATATTATGGGGTTCTGCACGCACAGGACGGTGTCAAGGAGGCTCTGTCAAAAGCAATCACTTGCAAAAGGAAACATTTCACCTGATCAAGACTACCTAGAACTGGTCGATTCACAACATGCCGTCCGTACTTCTTTTCGGGGCTACCGGCCTCATTGGATGTGAGTCCATGTCACCAGGCTTGAAAGACAGTGCTAACCGAAACCCAGCTCGTTTGGCCATCGATCTCAAGAAGACACTCCCTGAGTGGCCGCTGACAGTATTCGTGCGCAACTCCAATGTCGACGAGTGGTTCAAAACCACCGCCAATGTTGATCGAATCGTCTATGGGACAATCTCCGACACCGAGCTGGTGCGGTCTCTGAGCAAAGAACATGACATCGTCATCAACGCCATTACTTCCTTCGACGGCGACTTTGTCAAGAACATCATCGCAGGCATGGAAGAGAGACCCGAGCAATCCAAGGGCACCTTGGTCCATATCTCCGGCACGGGCAATTTTATCGATCATGGCACGACCGGAAGTTTCAATCCCGACGGCAAAGTTTGGAATGTTCGTCTCGGTCTCCAGTGACCACCTAGGAATGAACCTGATTCTGACATGACACGTAGGACGACAACGAAGACGACATCCGAAAGATTGTTCCGAGCATGTTCAACGGTCCCACAGATGTCCCGTAAGCCGTTCCGGAGCCCCGTCTATTGGTCTCCCCAAGTACTGATCTGGACCAGGGTGCTCGAGGCAGGAGAACGCGGAAAGATCATCACCTACATTGTGTGCTTTGCCATGACCTACGGCCCCAACATTGGGCCTGCGCCAAACCTGGGGGTCGCCTACAATCTGTTGACTTCGAACGCAAAGAAGCAAGGATACGTCCCATATGTCGGTGATGGTTCGGCCGTGGCTAGTTTGATCCATGTCGGGGATGGCGTTCCTTTCCTCACGAAGATCGTCGGGATCGCTGGCATGCAGAAGCCCACAGGTAGCGCCTACTCCAGGTACTATATCCTCCATGGCGAGAGGGTCGCCTGGAAGGACTTGAGTTCTGAATTGGCCAAGGTCCTGCATGCCAAGGGTGTCGTGGCTTCGCCAGAGCCCAAAGCCGTGCCCTCCGCTGATGCTGGGGCAGGGGAGATCGGCGCGCTGATAGCGTCGAACATGCTGGTGAAGGGAGATCGTGCCGCCAGGCTGGGTTTCAAGGCCACGCATCCGTCGGTCTTGGTGCAATTGCATGAGGATCTCGGAGCCCAGAACTTCTAGACGTCAGCCTGTCGATCAAATAGGTATTGTTTCTCTGAAGAATTCGCTTCCGTGGTCTTTGTAGACCCTCGCTCTGCACAAGTGTGATCTGCCAATATCTTTTCAGTGGGATAGTGGGTCTAGTGGCTTGAGATAGATTGATTCGGCGTTGTAGGGATTTGATCCGTTCACGGAAATAATGGAGCCTCTGGATAGACGAAGAATGCGAGACTTATAGGAAAGCTTTGAGATATCCAAGGTTTAAGGTATACACGCTGTCACAGAGGATCGAAAAATCCTTGCTCTTCAGCCACCAGTCGTTGGGGCTCGCAGACCCTGAGCTGTTTGTCCGGTAGAGCTACTTTATACAGAAAGGGGTTCGGTAGGTCAGACTCGTCCTGACTTGATATCACCGTCGTTGTGGCATCGATTCCATCTGATCCAATGAGTTGTCATCCTCCAGAACAGACTGTGGTTCTCCAAGAATGTCGGCCACTTCTCTCTGTCCAACTAACGTTCGAGCTTGATTGTATGACAACTGGCGGTCGACCAGGACTTCTCTGATAAGGCTCATCGTTTCCCGTACCTGTTAAGATCATGTTGTCAGCTTTTTCCACTCGCCAAAGAGTTGGTGAGTCAAATTGAGCGTGACATAGTCTGATATCAGATAACTTTCCAGTAATATTCGAATCATGACCAACAGGATTAAGCAGTCCTAGAGGCCAGAGTTTCATATCGGCGAGTGAAAGGATGAGGTTCATCATTGTGACTTAGCCAGGAGGGGTGAATCACTTACAACAGCCACTCTCTCCTCACTTTCCACTTCACCATAACCTGCCCTCAGACGTTGTCTTTCTTTTTCTCGAGTCAGAGTTCGATTCTGTTCCTTCACACACACCCAGTAGAGTTTATGGAGATCCTCGAAAGATTTTACGGATAGCTCCTTGTACGTCCAAGCCCGTCCTGTTTTCGTACAGCAATAGTCAGCCCACGTTGTTTTTACTCACGCCGTAGCGGCCAAGGAGGAACCTGCATACCATGGCTCGATTCATCATCTGGTGCAAGCAGTGCCTGCTTGGACTTGTCGAAAAATCCCCAGAGCCCATGATCGGCAGATTCTGTATATTCTGCCGCCGTTCCTCTGTGATCTCGTGCTACAGGCACTGGAAGAGGGTATTTCCAGAGCCCTCGCATACTCCTGGGTCCAGTCCTTCGAATAGCGGAGACACCTCTTTTCTTGTTCCGATCAATTTTAGGACGTGCATGTAGTGCCCAGTTTGTGTGGCTTTTCTTCTCCTCCTTTTGTGTCGCATATGATCGAATGATAGGCGTTGATGAGGTTGCTGTGATGGTGGATGGTCTCGCGAAGGCTGGCGCCAGGAACAGTGGGATCTTTGTCACTGACGGAGGCCGCCCGATTGTCCTAGGGATTGATGCCATCTTTGGCTCACAAGAGTCTTTAGGAATTCGCAAGGTGACGCAAAATCCGGAGATTATAGCTCTGCTTGAGGCATGGTTGGGGCGAAGCTCCTCGAGTTTCGCAGTTGGAAAAACTGCGCCAAGATCAACTCGCTAGACCTTCCACAAGCCGCCTGCTCAACTAACCAGTTCGAGACATGTCAACAAACTGACTATGTCAATCGGTAGGCAAAGATTGTTCGTGCGCCTGAACGTGTTCTGAGAGGATTCACCGCATTGACTGCGTGATTCGGCATCATGAAGATCATAGAACTTGTCATTGACGGGTAAGGGTTTTTCAACTGTGCGCTTGGGTATTGTTGATAACTAACGTGCGCAGCTTCAAATCCTACAGCCAGAGAACTGTCATCTCTGGATGGGATCAAAGCTTCAACGCGGTGACAGGACTCAATGGATCTGGGAAGTCCAATATCCTTGACTCAATATGTTTTGTACTGGGCATCACCAACATGTCCACCGTACGAGCACAGAACCTCCAGGACCTCATCTATAAGCGCGGCCAAGCGGGAGTGACCAAGGCGAGCGTCACAATCGTGTTTGATAACAGCGACAAGAGCACTAGTCCGATCGGGTTCGAAGAGTATGCGCAGATCAGCGTAACGCGACAGATAGTTATGGGTGGGACAAGCAAATATCTGATCAACGGTCACCGAGCGCAACAGACCACGGTCCAGAATCTATTCCAGAGCGTTGGATTGAATATCAATAACCCAAATTTTATCATCATGCAGGGACGGATCACAAAAGTCCTCAATATGAAAGCTGCCGAAATTCTGGCCATGATCGAAGAAGCTGCAGGAACCCGCATGTTTGAGGATCGGAAGGAAAAAGCCGTCAAGACCATGGCAAAGAAGGAGATGAAGGTTGTCGAAATTGAAGGATTGTTGCGCGAAGAGATAGAGCCCAAACTCGACAAACTACGTGGCGAAAAACGGGCGTGGCTAGACTATCAAAAGACACAAAGCGAGCTCGAGAGGCTGACACGGGTGGTTGTTGCAGCGGACTACGTTCGATCTGGCGAAAGGATGAAGAGTGCAACTCAAGAACATGAAGTCAAGAGAGCGAAGGTGCAACATTTGGAAGAGAACGCCTTGAAACTGAAACGCGAGATTGAGAACTTGGACGAAGACGCTCAACGCGTTCGTGCGGTTCGAGAAAAGGAGATGCGCAAAGGTGGGCAGTTTCAAGCAGTCGAAGGTCAGGTGAAAGAATTGAGCCATGAGCTTGTACGCCTGGCTACTGTGCTTGATCTGAAACAGTCCAGTCTGTCTGAAGAGGAGCAGAAAAAGAAAGATATCGCAAAATCTGTCAAGAGTTTGGAAAAGCAAGTGAGTGACAAAAAGTCAGGACTCGCGAAACTGCAGTCGCAGTGGGACAGTGCAAAAGCAGAGCATGATTCTCAAGTCTCTGAAGTCGAGAAGAAAGAGGAGCTTCTGTCAACACTGCAGACCGGAGTGGCTTCACGCGAAGGCCAGGAAAGTGGGTATCAAGGCCAGTTGCAGGAAGCTAGAAATCGATTGACGGCCGCAACCACCGAACAAGAACAGGCCAAGATGAAGATCTCGCACCTTGAGAAACGGATAAAGGAAGATGAACCACGGGCCAAAAAAGCTCGTGAACAGAATGCTGATCTCCTCAAGGGTCTGGAAGTACTTCGCAAAGAAGCACAGAAGCTGGAGAGAGATCTCCAGAACCTGGGATTCGAGCCAGGCCGCGAAGAGAGCATGCGGGAGCAGGAAATTGCTCTTCAAAAGAGCATCCGCTCTCTTACCCAACAAGCCGACGAGCTGAAGCGAAAAGTTGCAAACGTCGACTTTCATTTTAGCGATCCTTCGCCAAACTTTGACCGCTCGAGGGTGAAGGGCTTGGTTGCACAACTCTTTACCTTGGATAAAGACAAAGCTGTCGCCGGCACCGCGCTTGAGATTTGTGCCGGTGGTAGACTGTACAACGTCGTGGTTGACACCGCAGAGACTGGAACACAGTTGCTCCAGCACGGAAAGCTCAAAAAGCGAGTGACCATCATTCCTCTCAACAAGATTTCGGCTTTCAGAGCATCAGCAGAGAAGGTTGGAGCAGCACAGCGAATAGCGCCGGGCAAGGTTGATCTTGCCCTGTCCCTAATCGGGTACGACCACGAAGTATCCGCAGCTATGGATTACGTTTTTGGAACTACTTTGATCTGTCAGGATGCGGAAACGGCAAAACGAGTGACATTTGATCCTGCAGTCCGGCTGAAGAGCGTGACGCTTGAAGGAGACGTCTATGATCCATCGGGTACGCTTTCTGGAGGAAGTGCTCCTAATTCCAGCGGTGTTCTTGTGATTCTCCAAAAACTAAATGAGGTCACGAAGGAACTACAGAAGCATCAATCAGAACTTCAACAGCTCCAACAGACCATGAGAAATGAGCAAACAAAGCTTGCCAACATCAAGTCGGTCAAGCAAGTTCTGGATCTCAAAAGTCATGAAATCAAGCTTGCAGAGGAGCAGATCTCGGGGAATTCTTCCTCATCAATCATCCAAGCAGTCGAAGAGATGAGAGCGTCAATCGTGCAACTGAAGCAAGATATGGCAGGTGCCAAAGCCAAGGAAAGCGAGGCGGCACGGGATGTGAAGCGGATCGAAAAGGACATGGAAGATTTCAGTAAGAACAAGGATAGCAAACTCAAAGAACTGGAGAAATCGTTGGTGGACCTGAAAAAGTCGCTGGGCAAGACATCGGCAGCGATCAAAACGCTTCAGAAGGAGTTGCAAGACGCAAAGATCGACTGTGAACAAGCCGAAAGCGATTTGAACGCGGCTCTGGAGCAACTGTCCGAGGCTGATAGCACGATTGAGAACCAGAAAGAAGAACTCCAAAACCTCCGGCAAGAAGAAGCGACTGTGAAAAGCAACCATGACATTGCACAGGCCGAATTGGACGACGAACGAGCAAAACTGACGGGATTCGACGACGAGCTGCGCGAACTGGAACAAGCTAAATCGAAGAAATCCAAACAAATCGCAGAAGAAGCACTCGAGGCGCAAAAGCTGGGCCACGCGGTGGAGAAGGCTCAGAAGGACGCCCAAGCAGCCGCGCAACTGGTGGCCGCACTAGAAAAGGAGCATGACTGGATTGAAGACAACAAAGATCAATTCGGACGTGCTGGCACGCCGTACGACTTCCACGGCAAGAATTTGGCCGAAAGTCGAGCAACTCTGAAAAACGTCACCGAGAGATTCCAAGGGATGAAGAAAAAGATCAACCCCAAGGTGATGCCCATGATCGATAGTGTCGAGAAGAAAGAGGCATCACTCAAAACAATGCTCCGGACGGTGATCCGAGACAAGAAGAAGATTGAGGAGACTATCAGCACGCTGGACGAATACAAGAAAGAGGCGCTGATCAAGACATGGCGCAAGGTCACCGAGGACTTTGGGAACATCTTCTCGGACCTATTGCCAGGAAACAACACGGCAAAATTGGTGCCACTGGATGACAACATTGATCGAATTCAGGAAGGGTTGGAGGTGAAGGTGTGTTTGGGAAAAGTCTGGAAGCAGAGTCTCACAGAGCTTTCAGGTGGTCAAAGGTATGCCATGCTTGCATTCTGTCGTTCTGTCACGGCAGTACTAACGCATTGCCATAGGTCTCTCATCGCCCTATCACTCATCCTTGCGCTGTTACAGTTCAAGCCTGCTCCCATGTATATCCTGGACGAGGTGGACGCAGCACTGGATCTTTCGCACACTCAAAATATTGGTCGGATCATCAAGACAAGATTCCAAGGGTCGCAATTTATCGTCGTCAGTTTGAAGGATGGCATGTTTCAGAACGCCAATCGTGTGTTCCGGACGAGGTTTAGCGAAGGGACAAGTGTGGTATCTGTCATGACACCCGGGGAGTTGAAGGGGTGAGAGTTGCGCCAATTGAATGTTCTTTGTTCGATGAACTCATTCACAGGGGTTTCGGAGTTGATGTGGTATGTTTGGAAGTGGCTATCTGTGCCCACTTGTAGTGATATTTGTTTGGGTTGATGAGTTCATGACTTGATGAGGGCATGTTTTGCAGTGGTGAAATGGGTGATCTGCTTGGGGACTGGCGATCAGATGCTGGATAGCCAATTTGGACATAATTTCCGGCGTGAATTTCATTTTGTTCGACAAGCCCAGTCTTTCACCTCATTTCCAGACTTTCGACGACTTCTTCCACGACTCCTCGGACACCCGAGATGTCATGGGCAAACCTCCCCAGAAACAAGCCGTCGACCCATTTGCCCAGCCCGTCCCCTCCATTGGTCTTCCCACTCCAAAGCCCTGGGCCCGCGCTGCCCCCATAAACGACCTTGACCTCGGCCGTTCGCTGCGGCACGATCTGCCTCGCGAGCTCCCGGATCGCCTGGACCACCGGACCGACGTACTCGACGCCGGCGGGCTCGGCGGCGCCAATGGCCCAGACGGGCTCGTAGGCGAAAATGACGGGGGCGTCGTGCGGGACGGCGGTCAAGACGGACTGGATCTGCGGGCGCAGCTGGGCCATGGCGACACCGACGGACTGGCTCAGCGGGCCGCGGAGGTCGGGCTTTTCCAGCTCGCCGATGCAGACCAGGGGCACCATGTGGGCGGCGCTGACGGCGGCAGCCTTTGCCGCCGCAGTGGCGTCGTCCTCGCCCAGGTACCGCCGGCGCTCGGCGTGGTTGAGCTCGACAACGGAGCAGCCTAGCTGCTTGATACCTGGGACGACGATCTCGCCCGTGAAGGCACCGTAGGTGGTGGACGGGTAGACGTTTTGCGCCCCGAGGGCGATGGGCCACGACGACGTGTCTAGATCTTTGTCCTCTGGTAGGAAAGGAGTTCTGGAGGCAACATCTTTACCGCCAGTATCAGCAGCGGAGGAGGAGAACTGTGCCCCGCTCAGAGTCTGTGCGCACGGGTAGATGGTGAGAAAGTCCGGGATGAGGACGAAGAGCACTTCGGCGCTGTGCCGCTGGAGGAGCGGGAGGATGTTGTTGGCCGGGTCGAGCAGGGAGGCCAGGTACTTGATGGTGCGCGAGGGGGAGAAGTAGGCCTTTGTGGATGTGAGGATAAGTTTGGAGGGGAGGCGAGGGTATGATGGTTGTGAGGAAGACATTGTTTCCAGTCACGCAGAAAGCCAGAGAGCAGGAAGCGGGAGCGGGAGGAGGAAGTAGTCGAGACAGAATTTTTTGTTTTGGTCGGGAGTCAAGTCAATGATGCTACTCATAGGTGCGTCGATATACATCCCATTACGGAAAGACGCCTATCCACTTACCTAAGTATTCACTCTCAGCAGTGACCACAGTAGTTTGAGTGGGTAAGTAAGACGATTTACCACCACTACCTTTTGCCTTCTCATAGCTCCCCACTATTCATCTACATACACAACTTTTAACGTACACTACACAGACCAATCCGTTGCCCCCACGTGTCGGGTGTGTGGTTGGGAAATGAATTTAGCCGGTCCCGGAAGTCTCGAAACGGCAATCCCGTCCACCATGCCACCCCCGACCAAATTTTTTTTTTGGAGAAGAGAGAGATAATGACGCCATGTTTACGAGGGACTTGGGAACAATTGTTCACAGTCGGGCAAATCGGACACGGCAATGGATGCCGTCGCACCGCCGCCGCCGTCGTCAGGTCGAGTGTGAGCCCCAGCAAGCAGAAACAATGCGATGATGGGGGATTCTGTCCATCTTCAGGATTTTGTCGTTTGATATTATTATTGATTGCCTTTTGTACATTGTATGCTTCCATACATACAAACCTACACAAACGTATCACCTATCGCCTAACAATACCAATACCAATATATCGAGTACTGTACACACCCCGCCTCCACCCACTGTACCACTCATCACGCTCCAAATCATCCCTTTTCGTTATACCGAACATATCCACCCACGTGCACACACACAGACCTAGGTAGTGCATATATCCAGCCGAAACCTCAAGTCAATTCACATCCCTCCAGCACATAGAATGGCGACCAACGGCACGTCAACGAAAACCCCCCTCCGGGTCGTCGTGGGCAGCGACAACGCCGGCCACGCCTACAAGACGGCGCTCAAGGAGGTGCTCAAGAAACACGCGGGCGTGACGCACGTCCTGGATGTTGGCGTGGTCGACGCCGACGACGCCACCGCGTACCCGCACCTGGCGGTGGATGCGTGCAAGAAGATCAAGTCGGGAGAGGTATGTTTCATTCACCTTTACACACACACACACATACACCCACAGACACAGACAGACAGAGAGAGAGATTGCCCTCCTTCGAATCTAGCTATTAACCCCCATGGCTAAAACCAGGCCGACCGCGCCCTCCTGATCTGCGGCACGGGCCTCGGCGTCGCCATCTCGGCCAACAAGGTCGAGGGCATCCGGGCCGTGACGGCTCACGACCCCTACAGCGTCGAGCGCAGCGTGCTCTCCAACAACGCCCAGGTGCTGTGCTTCGGCCAGCGGGTCATCGGGCTCGAGCTGGCCAAGAAGTTGGTCGACGAGTGGGTCGAGCTGCGCTTCGACGAGTCCAGCGCCAGCGCCGAAAAGGTCGCCCACATTTCAAAGTACGAGGAGCAGTTTGGCGAGTTGTGAGTGGCACTTTTTGGCCAGAGGAGGAGATTCTTCGAGGGAGAGAGTGAAAAAGTGATTTTTGGAGGGCGAGGAGAGAGGGGGGAGAGGCTATTATGGTCACAGAGGACGAGGGATGAGGGTAATGCCCTCTAGACTCCGGCCGACGACGAGTGGTGTGAGTCAAGTACCAGAGGGGTCAAAATACATGACCGTGCCAGTACGCATCCCTTTCTTATAGCATTTGAGGGGGTTTCGGGTCTTATTCATTTGTGGCCACCAAGGGGAAAAATCAATTTGACCATTGTGCATATAGAAAGGAGGTCCATGTATCTGACTGACTGATATCTCATGTGGTCCAACACATTCCAATATAAATAAAACACCACGACCACACCACAAGACTCGACCCGAATCCCCAAAGATGGAGACTGTTTGAGTCTTTGTGTACTACTTAGGAACCTTACAAAGCCTTGCCCTTTTCCAAACCGCCACTTTGCAGGATCTGTCTCTTTACGCGGACAAAGGCATCGACGCCCATGAGGCACGCTTAAATACAGGAACACCAGGTCGTTAGCCTGACAGTGTATATGGACATGAGACCATGAAGAATCCGGTGAACAAGTTCTGAGAAAACCGGAATACGGAACGGAATAAAGGAATAACAGACAACGGAAGGCAAGGAGAGACACACAGAGAGAGAGAGAGCTGAGGAGAACACGTACCGAGTACCAAGTAAGGAACGTAGAGGCCGTACAGGTCCGACTTCTGAGCCGACGAGTAGCCTTTCCAGGAGGAGATGTCGACGACGCAGGTGAGGGTGGTGACGGCGACTTCGAGGGAGAAGATGAGGAGATGGAGTGGGACCAGAGGATGGTCTATTAACAGGAGTGTTGGTGATTGTTATTAGCCATTTGAAAGAACCAAGAGAAGAGCCCAATGGATGGAATGAATGGATGCCAAATGATATCAATATCAACATCTACCCAAACTCACCGTTAAAGAGCCCCCAAACCATCCATAGACTGATCGGCACGTGGTACACGGCCTCGATCCACATGTACGCCGTGAACCAAGCCGGCGGGCTGACGAAGAATTGGTCCTGGAACCGCTCGAGCTGGTACGCGAGAAGGGTGTGCGAGAGCGGCGAGACGAGGAAGGACGGGAGGATCGAGGCCAGGTCCACCACTGACGAAAGGCTGGTTAGTGTCGAGTCATTCACCCATGAGACAACAATAGGGGAGGAATATCTTTTGCATAACGCACGGCTGTGCGTTGTTGTTGTCGTCGTTGTCGTTGTCGTGGGATAGACATGGAACTGTAGTCATAAACATCCCTGTCCAATTGGATCTTGGATCTTGTAGCCCGTCCCTAGGAAAACGTGTGACTTACAAAACATGATAGGGACATGCACGATGAAGAAAGCCAGATACAACATGTCGAGTTTCCGCGTAGATAGGGGACGGGGAGTGGCGCGTCGCGTCACCGTGGTTGGGGTGGTGGTCGCCATCTATTTGGGTGGCGGAGGGAGGCAGAGAGCGAGATGGAGATAGAGATGGTGGTAAGCAGGACAAATATCACACAGCTAGGCGGATTCCAAGTGAAGTGGTCATACAAGGCACAGCATGTAGTGTGTGAGTGTAGAAAAGTGATCGGGTTGTAAAAGAACCACGACAGGGATTTCCCAATCAGGAATCGAATCTCGGTTCAGATTCGCATTTACATTTACATTCACCTTCATCTTCATCTTCACCTTCGTCTTCACTCTACCATCCACCTTCTCGTGGAGATTCGAACCTCAATTCAGATTCCAAATCCAATCTCGTCTTTCTACAACCCGGCAAACTGGCAAACTAACTGGTGAGCTGCTGATCCTCATGGCAGACTGCCAACCTCGCCAACCAGACTCCAAAATGCCCCATGCACTCACTCACTACCTGGTCATGAATTTTCCGAGCATATGGATTACAAGATACACGCGGCATCGATATCGACACCGACATCGACACCGCCACGGCCTCTCATCCTAGCAGTCGCCCAACCCTCTCAACCACTTCCCTGGCCACCCTCGTTGTCTCCTCGTCCAGCCCTGCCGCTCTCCCTTGTTGCAACAAGGCATGCATCGTCTCCTGCACCTTTGTCGCAGCAACCTCACTGCCAAAGATGACAGACCCTGCTCTCGTCGAGTCGTGGAACCATCGGCCAGCCACATAAACCAATTCCGAGGCGATGTACTTGCGATTGGACCCCACAAACGGCGGATCCCCCGAGAAGAACATCATCTCCAAGATCTCAAAAAGCCGCTCACAAGGAATCTCAAGAGACAAAAAGATGTCCACGACCCAATGCGGAGGCGCCACGTTGCGTTGATGTTCGAATGAGTACTTCTCCAGAATAGGGAGCAACGTTTGGACCGGGAACGTCGTCTCCGCCACCCGCATTTTGCTGCCCAGACTTCTGACTTCATCGGCGATGGCTTCAAAGGGTTGGATCTGCCCTTCTTCCTGGACTTTGTCATGTACCGACTGGAGGAGTTGTTGCCAGGTCTGCTTGATCTGGGCTGGATCCCGGTGATCGGCAACTTGATAGATCAACAGACAAAGGTCATAGTATCCGGCATTGTCCGCGTAGTTGTTGAACAGCGTGTTGATGTCCAAAATCGGCCCATTGACCTGATCAAGAACTTCTTGTCGCCTATCGGGCCCGAGTCGATAATCGTCCCGTAACCGCTGGAGAACTTCATCTTGAATGGTCGCAATGTCCAGGAGCTCGGTGATCTCTTGGAGGAGCTGCTGTTTCATCTTCCGGCTGCCTCCCGGGGTGTAGGTTGAGGCATTCGCCCGCGCCCTGCTCAAGTATTCGATTCTCTTCTCCAGAGAGAGTGGGAACGAGCTTCTGGCAAGTTGCAACTGGATCTTGGCCGCCTCGGAAAATTGGTTGGTCTGACTGTAGTACTTCCAGAGCAGATCCGCATAGAGAATGTCCTCGGTCGACCTGCGTTGAAGATAGGTCACTATGAATGGTGACTCGGTCGCCAGCAGCCGATCGTACCATCCCTGCTGGAGGTACCAATCATAGAGATTGGTCAAGAACGCCTCATCCTTTGACCGGCTAATGACATCGTATGCTTCATTCCGTCTCGTGGCAGCGAGCGTTGGGTGGCCGTCCACAAAACTCGGCCCTTGTTCCGTCGTCTTATCAACGGCGACAATAACCGCGTGGATCAGATCATAGCACTGACTCCGCAGATCAAACTTTGCTTTTCGCGGATCCGGCTCTGGTCGACCTTCCGCCATCCAGGAGAGTGCTTCATTCGCCTTGTCCTTTTCGTGAGCAACCCGAAGGACAAGTTGAATGGCTCCAGCAAAGAACTGCAGATCCGTATATTGTTTCACGGCAGATTCCAGGTAGTCGTGAGGCAGGCTGTGGGCCACTTTTTCAAACAGTTTCAAGCTTTCATTCAGAAGATTCCGTGAAGAGTCGTTGTTCGTTCCCGCTTCGGCCGCTCGTCTCAATTGTTCTTGGGCTTTGAAGATCACCACGTCGTCTGCACTGCAGAAGCTGCCGCATTTTCTGCGCAGGGCTTCAGCAACCGTCTCCACATTCGATCCTTTGGCAATGTTGCGATTGACAATCGCCTTGACGAGCTCTTTGGCAAGCTCATACCCTTTCTTCGTCGTGAAGAGCTCCTCAAAGGTGAGCTTCAGCATTTCCGGTCTTGAGGCCTCCGGCAGCAGGGGTACTATCTCCGCCACCTTCTCTTCGAACAAGACCAGAATGAACGAGAGTCCTTCAATGGTGTCGGATGTGAACTTGACCAACGAATGCAAGGCACGGTGTTCGCCCTGTAGAGCGATCTCGTCGTCCTTGGTGCTTGTCGCTGAAAGATCATCAGGTCCGCTGAGGCCTTTGATGAAACTCTTATTCGTTTGGAAGAAGCGTTGAAGCGCAGACAACGACTCTTGGACATCTCGTAATTTTTTCAGAGGTACGGCAGGGTTGATCTGGTAACCGGCCGGTGTGGTTGATTCCAGAGCAATCACGTTCTTCCACGTCGACCTCAATAAGCGCGAAAGGTACAGAGCAATGGCCGCATGGCGCGGCGACGGTCGCACGGCGTCGATCAACGGCACGGATCTGTCGGTGATGGAATTCTGATTGATGCTCGGCTTTCCGCCGTATTCGATGAAGGTCTTGCGGGCAAGCTCGAGAACTTCAGGGTCATTAACCCGTACCGCCTGAGCACTCCCTGTGTCCTCCACCCCTTGACCACATGCGACCGCCAGTGCCGTAGCTAGAGTCTCTGTCCTGCCATAAGCCCGGATCAAGTTGCTCACCTCGTGCTGGAATCCTTCAGGCCCTCCCCCTTGACTGCTTAGGGCTGCAAAAATGTCCACCAGGCGGCGCCTTCTGATTATGTGGATGCCCGTATTCGTCAAAATGGCAATTTCGGGGATGGCCTTGTCGAACTGTACAGCCAAGTCGTTCCCATAGCCCACTGGATTCGGAATCGGAGCAGAGTAGGGAATCACTAACCCTATGTCTTCTGCCCGACTGCCCAGTGACAGCCATATTGCAGATTCCGAAGTTCGACTTGTCTGGCCTGGCTCAGAGCTCCTCAGCAGTCTGCCGGCATCAGGGGCTGAGATAAATAGTTGGTCGGACGGCGAATTGGCGTCCCTGGCTGTGAAGCAAAAGAAGTACCCAGGTGGATACCGTGCAGCGAGTCGAGTTGTTGTCAACGTCCTGATGGGATGATGGACGTCGGTGGATGAGTCCGTCCCCCATGTGCTTGAATGACCTGGGTTGGGGGATACGGGCGGTACTTTGACATGCTGGGCCTGCACACTGATGGGAGCACTGGACCGGGTTGAAGATCCATAGCTGTAGCTGGTAGCGCTTTTAGCACTGAGGTATATTCGATAACCGGTTGCTGTGACCGCAACCAGGTGATACCTGGATGCTTCCGAGGCTGGAAGAGGCGATATCGACACAATCTTGACTCGGTTGTTGAGGGCTTCGCTCTGATTAATGATATGGCCGATGTTGTCATAGATCTCGGATGCAGGTTTTGTGACCAAGAGAGGTAGCCCGCCTTCCGGCTTGATGTGGAACACACGAATATTCGAAGTGGAAGAAAGCGTGTACAGCAGATCTCTACTATCGTCCACCACAATCTGTTCCACATACTCCTTCTGTCCGTGGGCAAAGCTGCTGAATGTCCATGTTAAAGACTTGGCAGCACCACTAGTGTGACAAATCTTCGCGCATCGACTAGCAAACCACCGATCCTCTTGCTGATATGTGACCTCATAGATGTCATTGTCCGTCCTGCCACCGAAAAATATCCTCCCAGTCTTTGCAGAGGATGCAATGACGCTGACATCGAGACCTCTTACTGACACTGACATTCCGGTCTGAAAGAGAGAGAGCGCAGAAGAGCCGCCCGGACCTGAGTCGGTCCCTAGCCCCAGCAGAAATATCTCCGCAGTTGTTCCAATGACAATGACGTTCTTGATGTTCGGTAGAAAGACCCCGGCGCGAGGGACGGCGAGCTTGACGGCAAGGATGCTATGTGACTGTCCCTCAAATCCCAGGAGTTCGGGTCTTGGTGCCGAGTAATCCCACATGTACAAAGCATTGTCGATTGTTGTCCAAGCATACCTCAGCTCCGCAAACAGGCCCATACTCGTGGTCAACTGCGCGTTGTTATACTGCTCGAAGATTTCATCGGGAATCCTGTAAAAGCCAGCTCGCTGAAAGGGCGCCCATGTCGTCGAAGACTGGATGTCGTAGTCGGCAGAGTAACCCTGGGACAAGTAACTGTCGACATCTGGAAATCGTGATTCACTTGCAAGGGAATCGTTGATTGTGCGCGCAGCTCTTTCCACGGGTTCCAGAGCCTCAGGTGGGCGCATCGACGCTTGTATGGGCGCATCGGAAGGATTTGTGGTGATGAGACCTGCTGAAGGCTGAGAAGGTATGAGGGAAGGGCGGGATATGGGAGTCGTGGGAGACTGAAAGGAGGGAGCAGGTATCGGTGGTGGACGGGCGGCGGGAGTCTGAGGCCAGATGCCCGGCACAGGCCGGACAGGCGTCTGCGTAACTACAGAGCCCATCGTTGGCAGGGGGTAGCGTCGTCGTCGCAAGGGAGGGTGACTGGTTTAATCGTGAACAGACATGAATCGATGCAGTCGCTGTGCAAGGACAGCACGGAAGGGCGACGCAGCTTATCGATTCAGAGGCGACGTAAATTAACACAGTTCCAGGAGGACAAAGGGCAATGTGTGACGTAGAGACAGCCGCACTCCAGGCCTCTGTGAAATGTCAAGTTGTGGTTTACTGAGACAGTGATAGAAATATAGGACGCGACTGGAGATGGAAAGTAATGCGGTCATACCAGAAGAGGTTTAGCGTCAGGTACCATGACTCGCGCAAAACAATTTGTACCAAGTTCACCAGTCTCTCCCACGGACCTGTAAACTTACCACTCGTGACTTGATCCTTTAC